AATTGTTGGTAATCTTAATATGCCAAACATAGATTGGAAAAATAGTTGTTTAAAAAGTAGCAATAAATTTGAAGAGGATTTTCTAAACTTTTGTACCTATGTTGGTCTAGAGCAACATGATAAGGTCGCCACTAGGTACAACACTATATTAGATGTTGTATTAGCTACCTCTACCTCTCTTGTTGGTAATATTAGAGAAATATCTTGGAACCTTTTTGTAATGGTGATCACAATATCATTCATGCTTCATTAAAATTAGACCGTTATTCACCTCCCTCGAGATTTTCTAGAAGTTACAGTCACTGTAATTATGAAATCTTTAACTCTATCTTCGCAGAAATAAACTGGGATTTCTTATTCTATTTAACCCCCTCTATCGATGTTAATTTTCTTAGTAGCATCATTTTATATCTAATATACCAATATATCCCTTTAAGAAAAACGAACATTAGGTCGATTCCCAATTTTCTAAAATCCCTTAAAAAAAATGTCAAGAAGCTTTATAATAAATATCAATTAACCAAATTGCCAAATGATCTCTCTGCATATAAAGAAAGCTTAAAAAAGTTTCCGTAGCACCATTCATAATTACTTTTCAAATAAAGAAGAACAACTTTTAAATATTGATAGAAATTCTTTCTGGACCTATATCAAAAGAAAATTTGCAAATCCGCGTAAACAATTAATTCTGCAACATAATGATAATGTGATCACCTCTGATATTGATATTGCAAATGTATTTAATCAGTATTTTTCTAGTGTGTTTATTGAGGATAATATTCATACTTCCTGTTTTAACGTAAATCGAATTTGTTGCACTTCTCTCTGCGAGGTTGAAATAACTACTGGATGTTTATGATGCCTTAAATAGACTTAAGCCGTCCATTTCAGCTGGTCCCGATAACATTCCACAAATAATTTATAAAAAATGCGCAGTTTCTCTGAGTCTATTTTTAATTTATAAAGATATTATGAAGTCTGGCCTTAATCCCAAAATTTGGAAATTGTCCCATATAGTTCCCATTCATAAAAAAGGAAGCACCTATGACGCTTCTAATTACAGACCTATTAGCTTAATATGTGTTGGTAAGGTACTTGAAAGGTTGATTTGCAACAAATTGCTTACTTATCTTGATACCAATAATTTTATATCTTCTTATCAACATGGCTTTTGTACAAAAAAATCTACTTCTTCACAAATATTGGCAAATCTCTCTGATTGGTCAGCATCAATTGACAATGGAAAAATAGTATCAGTTGTGTACCTAGATTTGGCTAAGGCTTTTGATACTGTTTCCCATAGCAAATTATTGGTCACTCTTAATAGTTATGGCATAACAGGGGACCTCTATAACTGGGTTTCAGATTGCACAAAAGATCGTTACCAGGCTGTATATGTTAACAACACTCTTTCTGACACAACACCTGTTAAATCTGATATTCCCCAAGGTAGTTATATTGCGCCATTGCTTTTCTATTATATGTAATGATATCTCCAATGTGGTACTATTTATCTTTATGCTGATGATTGTAAAATTTATTTATTATTCTCATGGTAGAACAGATAACCTATCTCCACTGCAGGAAGACCTCAACAAAATAGTCAGCTGGCTATATGGCAGGCGAATTACCCTTTCCTTTCTATAGCGTTCTTCACATCAACTCTAAAGGATTCGATCTTCCTAACCTTTTTATAAATGGTAATTTAATCAATAGAGTCTCACACATCTCCGATCTTGGAATAATCATGGATGAAAATCTCGATTTTGATCTTCACTGCAGAACCGTAGTAAAGAAATCCTCAAGGATACTAAATTTTATTTTTCGTTCGTTTAAGAACAAAACTGAAAGTTTTCTTATCAAATTATACAAAGCATTCGTTCGGCCTCTTCTTGACTACAATACTATATGTTACTCCCCTAGACATCGCAAAACAGGTAAAATAAATCGAAGGACTCCAAAAATATTTTCTAAGACGCCACTCTCCTAATAAAAGTTATAATTTTAATTATAAAAGAACATTTTTACAACATAACATGGATTCTCTCTCAGTTCGTAGAATTAAACAAGATTTAATTTGCACATATAAGATTCTGTATGGTTATGTTAAATTAGATTGCTCGAAATATTATAACTTTAGACTAAATTTGAGTCCAACAAGAACTAATGGCTTAAAATTACTAAAACCTATATGCAAAACTAAACTAAGGACTCATGACTTTTTTATTCGTACTATTAACTACTGGAACAAGTTACCGAACGATGTAGCTTGTGCATCATCCTTAGCTGTCTTTAAAAAAAGACTAGATAATATCATTTACGATATTATTTAAAAACAAAAAAAAGAGAAGAGTTTACACCAGGCAAGAACTGTAGGAAGTGAGAAATCTCGATTTTATCTTCAGTATATATGTTACTTCGAATTGTACTATATTATATTGATCTGTAATTTCCTCTTTAAATTGTTAATTTTTGTCATATTGTTTTATAATTAATTTTGTTTATGTTATATTTTTTTTGTTTTTTTTGTTTTCTTTTTCTGTTATCTTAATTGTTATTATTAAGCACATGGCGTTGTCGCCCTGCTTGGCTGGTTATCAATAAATAAATAAATAAATAAACTATGAAAATCGACGGAAATTCCATGCAAAAAATTCCATTCAATCCTCGAAAGTTAATTTCCTCAATTTCTGCAAAAGGAGGAAAATAATAATATATTATTGAATATATTATATATGTTTTATATACATATATATATATGTTTTTTATCAAAAAATTGCTATCCACTCCATATTTGCCTTCCTTCTTTGGAAAATCGAAATTTTTCTATAGGTGAAATTTAACAATATATTTAATTTAACAATATAAATATCCGATTTGGAAATCATCAGTCAGAAACTTAAGGCCCACAAATATTTTCGAATAAGATGGTCTTCCAACTGAAATTTGATATTTTTACAAAAATTTCGTTATGCAAAATTATCGACAGAATAATTCAGTTCTGAACATGAGAAATTCTAAACATACCTGATAGGATATATGCCATCGTTATATTTCACTGAAGGATGAGCTATGTGTTCGTCAAACTTTTGTTCAAGATTCTCAACATATAAGAAAAGATGTTCAGTGTGGCCTTCAACGAGATATCTAAATAAAATATAGCCAAACGCTATAAGAGGTGCAACATGCAACACGATTAGAACATTCAAAACTGTTGCTGATACGACATTATCATGCAGCACACTCGAACATGATTTCATCTGCAAATATCATACATTTTTTCAGTATTAATTCTTTAAAAAACATAACCTCATATAAGTTTTATGAGTTTATTTTTTTTGCTACGAAACTTACGAGTGCAGAACAATATTTGTCATCAGGGAAATAGTTGAAATGTAAAGCTATATATTTGTAACTGCGAACCGCTAACATAGCAAATAATAATCTCCTTCATTCAGAAATTTAAGGCCAATAAATTTTCCCGAATAAGATGGTCTTACAGATAAAATTTCCAAATGTGTCCACCGTCTTTTCACCACTTCAACTCTGCTCTGTGGCAACAACATGGTCAATTCTGCTTCAATTTCTAAGGAAGGGTGAAAAGGCATAATTATCGGAGAATCAGCCCGCTGGACATTTCCTGGAAAATTTTGATTTTGGCCACTCTTTGCTTTATGGCAATACGAAACAGCAAAGTGTACCGCTTCAAGCTGGATTAAGACCGGTAAACAATTGTGATTTATTCACCAAATATTCACATTAAGATGGGTAATCTCTTCAAATACTGGCAACTGTCACTCCACTGTCAGTTATTTTCTAGTTGCCCGATTAATAGAGTAGCATTGTACAAAATGGTGGAGTTAGGAGGAGTGCATTAGAGAAGATTGTTCGCCTCATAAAGGCATTTTAGTATCGTACGTTGGTACATATTTTGTGATCCAGTCAATTAGGAGCTTCTTTCTTTTACCTATGATTGAACTAGATTTGATTGAACAGTGGTATTTTCAATCTAGAACATGATATCTGATCTTTAATACTCTGATGAACATTTTTGTTGATGTAGTTAAGAAGGAATACAGGAGATACTAGACAATGTACCGATTGAATTGCAACAAAAATCGGACTCAGGATCGATGCCAATAATACGAAAATCTTTTTATCTTATCAGCGTTGATAAAATACCTGTTAATTCATATGAGTTTAGAAAGTGGTAGATTTTAAATATCTTGGATCAACTCTTATGCCAAATGACCAAACGAAAGATAAAATTGCAAACCGCAGCTAGAACTACCGTCTGATAAAACCTCTATTGGGTCGCTATAAAATCACCATAAAAACGATATTTTATATTTATTTGACTGCAGTGTTATCCTGTTAACTAGAAAACATGGTCAATGAGAGTGGAAGAAGTTATTCATCTCTGACCACTCATGTCTAAGGTGTGTTTTACATATTCGATGAGCCGATAAAATCCCACATGGTCTCAACCATCTTTGCTCAAACACTTCTGCATTTCAAATATAGTAACAAAGCGTCGCCTATGGTAATTAGACCATGTTCTTCGCAGTCCATTATAGGAATTGACACATAATTCCCTATTTGCTAATTCTATGTCAAATGGTGTCAAGAGAGAGGAAAGCCAATCAAGACTTGGATGAAACAAAGTCAGAAGAGATTTTGAACGTATAGATGGCCTATTGATATATGAGGATGGAAAAAAAGAATGGCTTCTTCTAGTACCAGACATGGCATCGGATCGAGCAGTCTTGTAGCTAGCTAAGTTAGTTAGCCTAACCAGTTATGATGAGAATTTTTTACGGGAACTTTGACGTCTTACTAAACGTCTTACTTGCTAAATGCTTTAATTGGTTGACTGAAAGAAAAATTAATGGAACATTCGAGGCATCAAAGAGTGATTTTTGCATTTAAATCTAAATCTAAATCTAAATTATCAATAAAAAATTAATAAACAAAAAAAAATTAAACCAAAAATAAACGATTTCTTGAAATTTTTATATTCTTTTTTTCATCTTCTACAGATGATTATTTTGAGTACAGTTTATTTTATTTATTTATTTTATGTTCTGTCTTCTCCACAGATCTGATGAAACCGACGTCTGCTATCTAAAAAGTCAGACGAAATTCTCATATTTCTTTGGTTCATTGCGTTCATTCATAGCTGAGGAGAATTAGAGATTAGTGGAAACAAAGATTTAAATTAATGAACACCTTTGCGGTTCATTTTTTAGCAGATTTTAGGTTACAACTGGATTAAATAAATTGAATGAAGCGAATTAAACGAAACGTAATTTAGTGCAGTCATTTAAAGATCTAATTATAAGTCATTCATCAAAAATTTCGTCAAAGACGATAAAATAGTTCAAAATCAGAATCAAAACTAAACATAAATTCCATTCATTCGTTTTTTGAGAAAAATAATCACCATGGCAAGATTTTCATCGATAAAAACACATTCAAAAGCTCCTTCAACAGGTTTACTACCCTTCGAATTATGTTCAAGCAATGGCGAAATGATTTTCCCCAGTAGAAAACGAACTTCATGCACGCGATCAGCTAATGATACTTGAATCATACACGCTTGGCTGACACTCAAAATAAGTGCCAAAATTGGCGCAACCTGAAAAAAAACATCATGTGCTCGCCAAAGAAGTGCATCAGTTAATTTGCACTAAACAACATATTGCATTATACAATAGTGGAAATCTTAGCTGTCTACTGCTTTCTCGAATTTTTTTCCAATTAAATAACTAATTCTGTTTTTCAAGTGCAATCTTTTTGATCGTTGCATACGTTAGTATGAAGCGCAAGTTTTGCTTTGAATAAATAAATAAATAACAGAGCTTACTTCCATCAAGTGGAAGGGACCGAACGCACCGTACTTGAATGCACAAATCTTTTGTTTTTATTCCTTCTTCAAAAAATCAAAAGAAATGACTATTTATTTTACCTGTTATTATTTTTAAATCGACCGGTCGCTCTAAATTTTAAAAAAATTTGGTAGTTCGACTGACCAGATAAACCATTCTCATCCTTTTGCTGAGCTTTTTCTTCATAACTTTTATCCAACAGTAAGCGATGATGTTAAAAGTTGCTATAACCAACTGAATTACTTCAGTTATAAACAACGCCCATAACTGATCGCAATACTAAAAGCTGTTTGAATGTTACTGAACTTTGTTAATGATTCATGCAGTTATAGGAAAAATAAAGTGTCTTAACAAATAAGTAATAGCCAGAATTTTTCATCTGGCAGCATTCATCATTTTCAGTTTGGCTGGCTGGTTGAGAACTCATCGCGAAGAGAGTTGGATATGGAATTGTGAGCTTCTAGATCCCTAACAATTTTTGCTAAAAGCCAATTTTTTCGAAACTTAATTTTCTATGGTTGAATAAGCAAAAGATTTTGTTGGAATAAATAATAATAACAATTGAAATCAAAATTTTTACTTATAGAATCAAAATTCCAAGCAACTTACATGTTCAATTTCACTGAAACGTTCTTGATTCACTCCACTAATATTGTATTTTCGAACAGATTCATTAGTAACAATCGAACTAACAAATTCCGTTTCATTCATATAGTCCGATAAAAGATCATGAAGAATATTAAAATTTTTAGAATAGGAAAATAGAATACCCGTATTTATTATTTGTGGTATTATAATAACGATACTCGCCAAGAGAGGCAATTTATAGATCCATTGATTTATCTGTAATGTTTTCTTAAAAATAAAATTTAAACATAAGCCTTTTTAAGCCAATCTAATGCTCCATAAAATAGTGACTCTAGAATGGTCAAAGTTAATCAAATTATAATAATGAAAGAAGTTAATGTTTTAATGAAAATGAAAGTAAAGTAATAATAATAATAAAGATGAAAGTCGATGTTTTAATATGAACATGCGTTTTGCTAGAAACTGTCGAAGAGTAAATTAAGATTAAGATTTCACGAAGAATTTCTGCTTTCATTCATTCAAACCGAAAATAATTGAAGGCTATTTCTGACAAGATTTTTCTTCATTTTAATACCTTTCGTTATGGCTTGTAATCGAAATGAATTCTAAATAACTGGAATAAAAGCAAACTTTTTTAAACTGCCTCTTTTCAGCAATAGCTCGCAATATTTCTAATTCTTTCGAAACTTTCGATGGTTGAAAATCATCATATTCCATTAAATTCACAGATTTTTGCTATAAGATTAATAAATTTAAATAAATGAAGTGATTAAGAATCGAACATAAAATTTCAAATTTGCAAATGAACCATGGCAGAGAGATTTGGAGATAAATTAAGGGTTTAATTTAAGGGTCCTGCTCCTTAACAGGAACCCTGGTAGTCAGTTGAAATAACCAAATAAGAAATGATGAGTGGTATTTGATTGTTTTAAAAATTATTTTTGATGCATTTTAATTTTGAATGATACTTCCTTAAAATTTGAAAGAACCGTTGGATAAAATAAAACTTTAACATATCCAACAAATGCTTGCTAGAAATAAACAACGAGAAAAACAACAACGGTTGAAAACCATAAGAGAAATCATTTCTATGGCATCATCATTTAGCTAAATAAGGCTTCTGGTTAGGCTCGCTCCATTTCCTATTGGAAATTTTTGCAGTCTTTTTTAAAGAAAAATGGGCTCTCAGCATCAATCGGATTTTTTAATGGCAGGCCTACTACTACATCTGTCGGAGGCAAAGTCCGAACCTTGTGTTTAAGGCAAGCACTCATCGCCTAATCCCTAATCCTAACATGTGATTAGATAAATTTGGCACCATCATTTTCTATTATATCTTCTAATTAAAATGAAATTGTTTACTTACAATTTTTTCGAGGAAAATTGGAGAAAATTTAAATCTCCATATATATTGTATTTAAAAAGTTCTATGAATAACATATTGCATAAAGTTCTATGAATATATTGCATGTATGTTGAATCATTGTGGAACAATTCTTTTCAATGCTTTTTCTTATTCAAGCAAGGGAAATCTCCATTTCACATGTGATTTTTATTTTTTAATAATTATGCAGGCGTTTACTTAATAATTCGAAATAAAGGATATACGAAAAACAAAGTATTCAACCGGTTCTCCAATTTCGTGGCAATGAATCTTTGAGATGGGCCAATATATAAAATTTACATTACATCAATCTATTCAACAGTAGATTAAGTTTATTTATATTATTTATATTTATATTTAAAAGTGCGAATTAAAATTCGATAACAAGAAAGTTAAAAAAGAATTTATCATTAATAGATCAATTATCAATTCAACGTGATGCTGCTGAATGGTGGAAATGTATAAATAATTTATTGAATAAGAGTGGTTAAATTCCAAAATTTAAGAAAAAAAATTTTAATGCCTTAATAATTCTTTAATGAAATTATGTTTAGATGATGCTGGAGACCCATCGACACTTCTACCTGCAAATGATGGAGTAGTCAGTGGAGCACGTTAAACCAGAAATGGTTTGTAAATATTGAAAAAATCATTGAGCTATAATCTATAAATTATTTGGCAATCGGATCTTATTTAATCTTTAGCTGGAGTGGAATTATCAAATGTATATAGAAAAGTTGGTTCCACATTTCCATCTATCATTTCACGCCAATTAAGAAACAAATTATCGTTCATCTACCCTTAAAAAAATTAAAATTATCGGCTTATTTCGTCCTTTTTAAGGATCAGTTTTGTGTAAATTTTTATAATAAATCGATATGGACGGCAAAAATTTTTTTGTAAAAGACTTATTATTGCACGCAAAGTTTTTATAGCGAAAAAATTTTTTTTTAGTGGAAAAGAATTTAAAAATTAATTTAATTTTAAAAATTTAGCTAAAAAAGTCTTCCGAATGGTTTTTGATGGATAATGAAAAAATGTAAAAATGGGTATTGTCGCAGGATCGAATTGCAAGCAACTGGATAAATCATGTAAATTTGATGAAAATCTTTATGGAAATTTCGAATGACCATGTATTCTTAACAATTTACTTCTAATAGGCGCCAGGAAGGAGGGAATGGTGTGTTACAAGTAGCATGAAGCCAGTACATAAGAACGTACTCTCGATACAAAATACAAAAAATTTCCACGAACCACAATTTTATTATCCACCTTCATTGTAAAATATAAGGATAAAAAGAAGCAGTGAAAACGATTCATTGTATTGTATATTAATCGAATGAATCTTTAAATCGGCTCGGCTTGAAAATAACAAATGAATAATAGAAATCTAGTTTTTGCTAGCAAAAACCAAGATAACATCACACTTTGGCAGCCCTCACCACAAAGTCATAGTCGTTATTTTTTTGGTCTAATAGAGACCAAAAAAAATCCGGTTCTTGCTCATCTTTCTCTGTTTGGAATAAAATCGATATAAAATATTATATCGTTTAAAAATGGATTTCTAATGGAAATTCTAAAAATAGACAAATTATAAGAATCTCTTCTATCAATTTTGCAGTTGAGTAACAAATAATAAGTAAACCTTAGTTTAACAGAAAATAAAAAGCAATAGCGATTCGAATCAAACTTTATTCTTTAAACGGCATCTATATAAATATAAATCCCGTCTTTTAAAGTTGAGTGAATTTGCAACCAGAAAAAAATAGATTTGCCTTTTAAAGGAATCTTTGCACTTTTGGTCACAACTGGTGAAACAGTTGTGTAACAGTTGTCCAGTAAAGGTAACCAAGCCAGAAATATTGGGTGCTATTAAGAAAATGAGAAATGATCAGTTGCTTACAATATCTTCACCATTGAAGAAAAGAAAATGCTTGAGATTGGAATGAGAATTAGCGTTATCTTTTATTACTTCATGATTCTCGTCCTCTGTTACACATATATCGTCACCAGGAAATGCTCCTCGCGGCACATAAGGTGGCTCACATTCTCGAGCCTGGTGATGTCGCAAGGAACTCTTATAGTTTTCGGCCTTTATTTCGGCTAATCTAGAATGAAATATAATGATCGCCAATTCCATTTAACATTTTTTTTCTGCACCAAAGAATATAATCGGAAAAATTGTGCCTCACCTCATTGGGGATACACATACGTAATCATAAGCGTCAATGGCACGCCACACATAATCATCACGACATGAATTTAGCCCATATGTTTGTAGATTAACATAGAAACTAGAAAAATTGTCTTCAAACAATTCATTTCATGTTAAACAAGGTGAAATCAATAAAATTGCGAGAATTTAAAGCTAAAGGAACAGAAAAAGACAATAATGTCATTATGTGATACAGAATGTGATAGTTTTAATTAAAAATATCCTAATGCGGTTAGAATTCAAGCAATTTTAAATCTTCACGACTAATGCACTCTTTCAACAGATAATAATAATCTATCTTCAATTATTTTCTTATCTTCCAATAACTCGCGCCAATGTTTACTAAGCTGGTTCCATTAGCTACCAGCTTTAACCAAGTTTCTCGATCCAATGCTCATAGATGAAAAATTCGAAAAGTATAAATACTTTTGTCGCTGAAGTTGTTTTTCAATAAGAAAATCTTCATCAAGTATCACATTCATATATGGCACACATATATATTTCATCGCTACATTTCGCTTGATTTTTTTAAGCGTCCTCATGATTTCAACACTCCGGCAGGCAACCTAAATTTATATGCTGATTTTAAATTTTTAGAAAAATTTAGAATTTTTAAACTTATTTTCCGAGTGCTTAAAATGTTTCAAAATTCAAGAGACCAGGCTAAAATTTAAAAATTAAAAAGAAATTTCATTTATTTAGCGGTCATTTCTGATTCCTCTCTGATATTCTATTATTTCTGGAACGTCAAAATTTGAAATTTGCTAAAAATAAGCTAGGATAAAAATAGTTAATTTTAAGCAAAATTTCCTTCTTTTAAATTCCTTTTATAATATACATATATATAAATTTAATAAATAAAATTTAAATATAATAAAAATAGAAACAATTAAACTATAAAAATTAATCACAAATTTTTTTCTAAAAAGCTTCATTTTTTCGGTTTATTTTTTTATTTTCTATTCTCTTTTTTTTCTTCTAATTTTACTTTCCTTATCTTTGTCTTTGGGAGAAGTAATCCTGCCATGATTTCAAAAATACTGATAACTGCTGGAAATCCACTTGTAATTTTATCCCCAAATGACTCTATGGTGAAAAGTTCTGGTCTTGATTCACTTCACAAGATATCTTCCACCGATGGCACATGCGATATATATATGTATATACATCTATGCAATAAGATGTGCTCTCGAGCTAAAGTAATTGTTAGAAACCTACCAAGAGGAATTGCTCGCGAAAAGATGTTAACTGTAGCAGAGATCGTTTATGGGATTTACGAGCAATAATTGTCCACGCTCTTTCTAAATATCGTCTGGATGTCGCCTTGTCAAAGGTCCAACGGGCTTCCATTAATCAGCCTGACTCCTAACAAAGGTAGTGGCTATATCACTATGGTACTTTGGACAATTTAGAACGAAATGGCGTAGCTTTGGCATATTGCCACATCTGAAAAAGCTTCATCCGCTTTATTTGACTGGAAGCCAGTAAAATGACCGTATGGTCTATAAGCGCTTCAAAAGTCATCAGTTATATGTTCTACCTTTGTGTGGAGATGACGCTGACAAGAATAAGTTCCATCCAGAATTCTAACTATTAGTACCGAAAAGTGACATGGCCATAATCGGCAAATACTAGAATGCGTGCGGTTATGATACCGCCATAATGAACTCGGTAAATATTGGCTAATATGGCATCGGGGTTCGATATGTCAATAGAGAAGGCTTTCTTCGCTTTATCGAAAAGCATTAAATTTTTGTTACTAATGCATGTACTTCTAGCATAGTAGAAGACCTCTAGCATAGTAGATCTAGTCACGCGAAACTATCTAAGTAGCCAACACTCCAACCAGATTAATCCTAATTAGTTTCCATATACTAGTCATTTCAACTGCGGTGCTGAAACCTTCATGGACCAGGGTATATTGTAGTTCAAGCTAAGATTCGTATAAAATTGATAATTTCCAAGAAATAACTTTTAATTATCTCAAATTAAAAGATTCGAAGATAATAAGAGCATTTAAAATCGAATAATTGGAGCATCTCAAGGATACAAATATAACCATGTCACTGGTAGATGAAAGTCCCAACTAAAGCTATACATAACTTGTAGTCTTCGCTGAAAATCTTCTATATTATAATATGCTAGTAGAACATGCACTAGTTGAATATAGGAAGCGATTGCTCAACTGACTAAAAAGGTTACCAAAGCACGAATATCAAGAGATCTTAGCTAGCGGATGCTTCTAACAAACATAACGATAGTAGCTAACAATCCATTAATCCAATCCATTACTTCTTCTTTTAACAATCCATTACTGGTTAGGCTGGGTCAGCTGATTACAACAGCAAGATGTTTCCAACTGCTCGGCTAGACGCCATCGCTAGTAATAATAGAAACTATTCCTTTTTCATTCGTCTAAATCCATGTCCCCTACGTTCAAAATCTTTCCTGACTATATCAGTCCAGGTCTTGACTGGTCTTTCTCGCTTTTGACGTCAACCAACATAGGGTTCGGCAAGTAGCGAAAGATGCATCAATTCCTGTGGATTCCGTACAACGTGCCCTAACCAACGAAGACGACGCTCTGTGATAACATTACTAATACAGGTGGTATTTGAGCGAAGATGGATACAATGTACAATTTTATCCGCTCGGTGGACCCGCATCTTAGATATAAGTGGTCAAAGGCTTCTTAATATCCTCTCACTGGCCATGTTTCGCAACCATACAGCAAGATCGAATTGCATTTCGTCTTTATGGTGATTTCGCGACGACTCCATAAAGGTTTCGTCAACCCGAAAAACATATTTCCATCATTATTCGGGCGACAATTTCATTCTTTGCCTGGCCATTTAGGATTAGGGCGGACCCAAGATATTTAAAGTCCTTAACCGGTAATGAATTGATAAAGATAGGCAGCATGGCAGAAATCTATTGGAACAAGATGGCCAATGGAGCAGCAAAGACAACTGCTCAATTAAGCGATAATAGAAAACTATTCATAAACGAATTATAACACGGGGAACGGTCATTAAAATAATACGGAATAGTAATGGTGAACCTGTTAAGGGTCACAAGATGGAAGGAATCCTTTGAGGCTCAACTATGCTGCGCCATTTGTTGTCCCGGATACTGCCGTCATATGTTTGCAATTGCGAACTACAGGAGAACAGAAATCTAGAAATTTAAGGCCAATAAAAGTCCAGGAAAAGATGGCTGAACTCTTCAAAAACAATTCTTCGTCCTTCATAACGCACCTTCAACTAATATACTCTCTATTATGGGAAAAAGAAATATTACTAGGTATATACTAGGTGATTGCAGTAAGCAATTCTGCTCCCAGTTCTCAAGAAAGATAGAATATACTGCGACAATTATCGAGGAATCAGCCTACTGGATGTCTCAGTCAAAATTTCTGCTTCCCTTTTACTCAGTAGAAATGTACTTTTAGAAATTTAGATAGAGTAGAAATTTACTTATGGAAGTACGGGACAACATGCGCCCTAATCAAGCTGAATCACACTCACCGGGATATGATTGTGCAGACCAAATATTCACGTTAAGAAGGGTGTTAAAACATTATTTCAAATATTTGTAACCTGCTGTCAAGTGTTTCGTCGATTTTGCAGCTTTCGATTCAATTGATAGAAAGGCGCTTTGGAGGATGCTAAAAGCAACGATGTTCCTGAGAAGATCATTCGACTAGAGGTATTTTATTAGCATACGTCGGCGCAGATGTATATGGAGAATCGACAGATTCCCTCGAAATAAGAACTCCGTCAAGGCTGTGTCTTTTCCCCTACTATGCAATAGGCTAAATAATGGAGGACAGTGCTTGTTGGTACCCAAGGTTGAATACGTTTGTGATATAGTCCTTTTTGCTTCAGTTATGACGAAAGGCAAATAATACTAAACAACAATATGCCCATAACGACAACGAAAGTCATGATCAATGTAAATTTTTGTTTTATATATAAGAAACAGATAAAACACCTATTTCTATCAATACATTCCCCGTTGATGGAATGCGAGATTTTAAATTTCTTGGATCCACTCTAATCCCAAGCGACCAAGCGAAAGATGAAATTATAATCCGGCTGAAGTTAGCCAGAAATACATTCTTCCGATGAAAGAGTGGAGAGAGTGGAGAAAATGGAGGATATCAAGAAGTTATCTGTCTTTGACCACAATTATCTAAGGTACATATTACGAATCCGTCGAGCGGATAAAATTTCACAAGATCGCATCCATCTTCGTTCAAATACCACTTGCATAAATAATGTTATCACAGAGCGCCAGCTTCGCTGGTTAGGGCACATTCTTCGTCGTCTACCACAGGAGTTGACATATTTCGTTATTTGCTAAACCATGTGACGGTTGGCGTCAAAAGCGAGGTGGGCCAATCAACAATCAAGATCTGGACTGATACGGTGAGAAAAGATTTTGAACGTATAGATGGACCAGCAATATATGGACTTAGACGATGGAAAAAGGAATGGCTTTTATTGCTATCGACGATGGCATCAGACCGCGCGGCTTGGAAGCATCTTATCCTTGTAGTCGTTGGAGCCAGTTTAAGCAGTAATGGTAAGAGCTGTTAGAAGAAGAAGAAGATTCTTCCCATTGGCGAAACCCTTATGCAGCTGTGGCTAAATCATCAAAAAATGAAAGTCCCTGTTTATGTGGCTGCAGTTCGCTCGATCTTGCTACGTGGCTGCGAAACATGGCCAATGAGTGTAGGATATTAAGACGTTATCTATCTTTCACCACTTTTGTCTAAGATATTCACGATTCCGCCGAACGGATAAATCCTCAGATGATTGCATTCACCTTCGCTTAAATACCAATTATATTAACAGTACCATCACAGAGCGTCGTCTTCGCTGGTTAGGTCAGAGGCAAGTTCTTTATCTCCATCACAAGAGTTAAACATATTGTTAAACTCTTTGATAGATGGCGTCAAAAGTGAGTTGAGCCAATCAAGACCTGGAATGAAACAATCAGAAAAGATTTTTAACGTAAGATGTGGACCAATGACATAGGGATTTAGATGAAGGAAAAAAAATGGCTTCTATTACTGTGGCACTGGATCGAGCATCTTGGAAACACCTTACCCTTAGAGCGAAGCCAGCTTAACCAATGGCTATTAGAAGATGAAAGCTTGGTTCAATAAGGATCGATTTAAGGATCAATTTTTCAATTTACACACTTGTTTTTATGCTAAACCATGGTACACTTACAGGATCAAAAGTCGAAATGATCTTCAGGTCGGCGTAGTGTTCAGTCAAATTTATTTTCACCACTGATAGTCGGATAAATTGATATTTTCCGGTGCTATCATAATCGATAAAATGCACCCATTCAGTGCCTTCTGTAAGCTCATAAAATTCGTTAGAATGTGTGATAATAATTGAATAATAACTAGACCCAATTTGGCTGATTCTGTGGATTATGATCGATGCCTGAAATCAAATTTCTAGGTTTTTTTGAATTTCAATTATAATTCTCAATAATGATAATGATAACTCTAGAGGAAAGTAAAAATAGCTGGAAATCGAAGTGCTGAGGATGAAAAAAACGATACGCTACGACTTTCAACTATGGTGCACTTCTTAAAAAATTGTTTTGCTTTTCTGGTTTCTTGGATATTCTGAAGCAATTGCCAATTTATCTAAAGATTAATTGGACATCAAAGTTGAATCTCTAAAGGTCATTAACTAATTTTAAATAGAAATTTTATTAATTAAAAATTTAAAATGTTTGCAGTGATAAATAATTTTTTAAAGAAATGAATTGTCTTGCAACTAAATTCACCTGTTTTATTCCCGAATCATGCATAATTGGAGTCCGCAACTCGACGGTAAAAACGTTTTCTGGATCATCGCGATCATAGGGAATCATTATCAACAACCAGTGCATTGTATTTTTATGTGGCACACTGAGCGATGATACACGGATTTTATGATTCTGCCTTCCATCCCTACAATCTCAATCTGAATACTCCATTTATTGATTTAATCTCCTTATCCTAATAATAATCGATAGCAATTTGCCAGGAAAAACAATTTAGTTCCCAACTAAAATAAATAGGTTCAAAAAATAAAATAAAGACTTATTTCAAAGAAATATATTTAAAAATATTTCCAAATTGAAGCTAGTTGAAAATTTTATATTTTTTTCTATATCAAGAATTTGTAATTCAATGAAGCTTGAATGGAATTCATACCTTCCAAAATAAAATATGCGATCCATTGGTAACCACCCTAAATAATTAAGGTGTGGACCGTTTAAACCAGGACCACTTAAACCATACTGCGAAGGATGCATTAATGCGTTAGCAGTGCTCATCAGATCATACGGATCATCATATTCTCCTTTAGCTGAATGAGGAAAAATCTGCAAAACTTCATATCCAGTGTAAACTGAGATTTGCAAAGGTAGAATAAGAAATAAAGGCAGATCGTACTCTTTTTCTTCATCTTTGTTCAGTGATCTTAATTCCATTTATTCCATCTAATTTAGATCTAAAATTCGGATTTTGCTTGTAACCTTACTTTCCTTTAAGGTATGCATTGTGGTGCTGCTGATAATACTTACTTTCACATTTCGATCGCTGTATGAATGCCCAATATGAAAACTATGAACCATTTCATGCGCAAGTACTGAACTGAATATAAGATTTGGTGTTATTAGTACACCGTAATTTTTATCATATAATGCATTATTTTCCGCATTTAATATCGTAATTTTTTGCGAAAACAATTTTTCACCTCTCCTCTCTGCCAATTTTACACATAATTCCTTCGTTTTTTTATAGAACTGAAATGATTTTTCAACTGATTAACGATCCATTTTTTCTCTTTCTTTTTTTCTTTTTCTTTTTCTCTTTCTTCCTTCCATTAGCTATCATCCTATTTAACAAAACCGTTCAAAAATCCTTTGAAACGAAGAAGAGAATTGGTAAAAAATAACATAGTTAAGTATTCTTTTTCTAATAGCTCTCACCATTACTGATTAGGCTGGCACCAATGGCTACAAGGGTAAGACGCTTCCAAGCTGATTGGTCCGACGCCATCGCTAGTAGAAATAGAAGCCATTCCTTTATTCGTCTAAGTCCATATATCTCCCCTATACATTTGAAATCTTTCCTGACTGTATCAGTCCAGGTCTTGAATGGACCTTCTCGCTTTTAACGTCAACCATCACAGGGTTCGGCAAGTAGCGAAATATGGTCAATTCCTGTGGTGGACGACGGAAAACGTGCCTTAATCAGCGAAGGCGACGCTATGTGATAACATTATTAATACAGGTGGTATTTGTGCAAAGATGAATTATCATATGCGATTTTATTCGCTCGACGGATTCATAAAATGTATCTTAGATATGAGTGGTCAAAGGCTGATAGCCTCTTAAACCTTCCACTTTCATTGGCCATGTTTCGCAGCCATATAGCAAGGTCGAGCGAATTGCAGCCAAAATGGATTCGGGTTTTTGTCTTTATAGCGATTTCGCGACAGTTCTTTAAAGAGTCAACCGGAAAATTACATTTCTAACTGTCGTTATCCGAGTTACAATTTCAACCTTTGTCTGGCTATTCGGTATTAGAGTGGATTCAAGGTATTTAAAGTCAAATACTTCCTCAACGCTAATGAATTGATAAAAACAGGTATTTTATCAGCATCTCGTATATAAAGGTGAAAACACTTTTGTTTACATTGATTTTTTCAGTTCTCGCTGCAGTTGTTGACATATTGTTTAACATTATTTGTATTACATCATCGACGTATTCAAGATCTGTGATGCTATGCTTTTGACTGATTTTCACACCCCTTGAGTGGCGACAAGTGATGTCCATTGTCCAGTCTATCGCACATTGAATATTGGGGAAAGGACGCAGCCCTAACGCACAACAGTTCTTATTTCGATTTCAATATCCCATTTCCCAGTATACATAGACCTGTGCCAGAGTATGCTGATAAAATACCTTTATGGGCCGAATGGTCTTCTCTGGGACTCCGTCTCATTTCATCAGAGTTTTCCAGAGTTGCTTTATCAATTGAATCGAAAGTAGCTGCAAAATCGATAAAGCAAATGATGGTGGGTTGCTGGTATTTTAAGCGATATTCTAGCATTCTTCTTGGCATAAATATCTGGTCAGCACAACTGCGTCCCAGTTTGAATCCAGCTTGATTAGGACTCATTCTGCTATTTCTGCTATGGGTCTATTTAGCAGAAAGGGAGAGAAAATTTTTCTGGAGATGTCCAGTAGGCTGATTCCTCGGTAATTGTTGCAGTACGTCCTGTCATCTTTTTTAGGAATTGGAAGCAGAATTGCTTTGCTCCAATCTTTTAGTACTATTACCTTTTACCATACCAGAGAATACATTTGTTGAAGATTATGAACGATGATGGACAACATTTGAAGAGTTTGTCTTGAAGACCATCTTTTCCGGGAGTTTTATTGGCCTTAAGCTTATGTCTTAAGCTTTACAGAGATTATGCTATTAGCGGCTCACAGTAACAAGCGTATGGTTCGACGAACGTATCAGCTATATCCAGGGCAGCATCGTTGGTCAAGTTTGACCTCAAAAAATTGTTTCATCTTACGAGGCAATCCTAAATGGCCTTAATAGGCGCTTATTAATATCTTTTTAATATCCCCTATCATTTCTGACTCCTTCTTGAGTTATAATTGCTTTGTGAAGAAGGCGAAACAATTTCCTATTATCACCTATCCGAGCCGCTGTCTCCATACTCAAGGAAATGTCACTCTAATAGTGGTTTCTGCCCCACCGTGCTGCTATTATTGCAATTCTTCGAAGTATCCGATAGTCAAGATCACCTGACATTCATTTGGTGCCCTTTTCAGACAGCTGGACAATTGCTTCCGACATCCAATTAGCGCATTTCTTACTAGTATACCTTAGTATGGAGGTGGCTGACTTTTGTAGGCATGTCTTTAATTGGGACCAGTATTCATTCGCCTTTCCAGAGATTCATTGACGTTCATTTCACTGTTTCTATAATGCGGTTTGAAATGCGCTTATTGTTCCCAGATCTTTTAAACTGAGATAGTTGAAGATCTTGGGATACGTTGTTACTTACGACTTGTCAGTTTTATACGAATCTTGATTCGAAGCATAACATAACAATTGAGGTCTGTGCAGTAAACATCGCTAATACGCATTAAATATTTACAACTTGCTTTCAAGTCATAAAGCTTACTACTTATTTCTCTTGAAGCACTATGGCAATATTTTTTTTCTAAAACTTAAGTATGAACCTTAATTCTAACGAATAAACTTACAGCAAAATTCGCATCAATGCGTTTCGATCTTGCTTCATTATTGGCCCACTGATGAATTCGATGCCGAGACCAAGGCAATGTATACCATCCATGTATTTTTGAACCTTTTATCGTATAGATCTGATTAGAAATATCAGAAAAGAAGTGTTCGATTGAGTCTGAAATTCAAAAAAACGTATGCAAGTATAGTACTCACTTTTTCTGATTAGGCTCACGCCGTTGACTAAAAATGAGATAATTTTGGCAAAGAGTCACTTTGTGGATAAAAATACAGATGAGAATAGAACATAATTTGGTTTTTTGATAACGGATTTACCGACAATCTAATCTAATCTATGACCATTTGGCTATTCTTTCCTCGTAACATGCAAAAGTCAGGCTTGGAATTGGCCACATTTAGTTAAGGATACTCGGGAATATATGTGCTTGAGAAAGTCACCTTGCTTATTGGAATTAACCATCCATTCGATAAACCATTCTCGAGCTCTAGGCTCATATTTCACATCAGGAAATTTGCATAATATCACCGACCAAGGTTCATTGCCTCTATGAGGTATTGCAGAGCAACGTAAAAATCTATTATATGCTATCAAATAAGCCGTTACACAAATTAACAACTTTTCGACGACTAAACTCTTCGTCATGAAAAATAAATTCAAGGCTAAAATCGATTAGTTTGTCATGCCAGTAATAATAATTTAGCCAAATATAGCAGTCAGACACTTTAAAGGCAGAATTTTAAATAAAACTTTAACTTTAAATTTTAAATAACAAATAAAATTAGGGAAATTTTAAGTGTTGGGGTTATTTCAGGATTATTTACGATTAGATTCTCATAATTGCATTGTTTCATATTTTCTTCTTTGCAAAAAGGATGAGGGCCTTGAAAGAGTTGCTTAGCGCAACGAATCCGAGAAATAATGAGAATCTTTTTGTTGTTGAATAAGTAAGTTAATAAATAATTGATTAGTCATTTCTGGCTCCGCTGGCTAATTTACGGTTGGACATTTTTACTATAAAGCCTTTCGGCGATATAAGTGGGTGGATAGCACCACCTTTTAATGACAGGTTTACCCGAGCTAAACTCTTATCGTTTAATATTAAAAAGGAAAATATTCCACTATTTGTGGTACTGTTTGTTTTCTTTGTTGAATATAACTTTTAAGGATTTGCATGAAATATTTACATCTAAGAAAACTCATGTAAACAAATAAATAATCTGAACAAAAACATGCGAGATTCGCCATTTCTGAAACAGAATTCGCTTATTTAAAATATTTTTTTGTCTATATAATTGTGCCATAAAATTGTAAACGCCAAAGGAAAAAGAACGTCAAATTCATTTTTTTTTTCAGACCTAACGGAGATTCAAAACGATTAGGCGGATTGATAAAAATAAAATAACGATGAAATAGATATGAACGTAAGAGAAACCCGTCTGATTTGGATTCGACCCGAATTCTTCCAAATTTTTCGAGAAATAATTCTAATTTTATAAATTCATAAATTCATATTATATAATAAGAATAATATTGTAACGATAATAATTAATTCAAATCGGAACTGAAAAAATCGATAAATCTATAGCATTTTGAAATTTTTTATTGTTAAATAAGTTAGTAAGGTTAACATTTGTCGCTCATCATTTCTGGTTGGCTGAAGCACTGGCTATTAGATCTGAAATTTATGCCATGGAGTCACTTGGCAAAAGTATAGGTGAATTTTAATTCCAGACTTTAATTTTGCTCACGAACAGAACCCTTATCTCTCAACATCATAATCTAAACTAAATGCACTTTCTTGAATATAATTTTTTAAAAGGCTTAAAACCATCCTTGCAACCAGCTATCTCAACGAATAATGAATGGTGTGCTATTAGATGAAGAAGAAAATGTTTAACTAAAATGGAAATTCCAAATTTAAAACTTCTAAATTCTATTGCCAAAATTATAAATTATTATTGAGTTATTTTTCTTTTTTTTTTAGTTTTTCGTGCTAATAATGTTGACTCTGCAAATATCACACCATAAATATTAATAATATTACTAGGTCGCAAGATGCATCAACATGGTGATAGCAATCGCTAGATAAATATGTTATTATCAATGATCGATCAGAATATAAGTTCAGAATTGAAATGAAAAGGTATGCATGAAGATGAATCTATGTTCGCTCACAACAGCCAATTTACAGCCAAAGAAATTGAATTCATGATATATAAATTTCTTTAAAGAGCTGCCAGCATCGGGCATGAACAAAAAATAAATATGATTGCTAAAAATCATAGTAACTATTCCTTAATTTTATGCATTCATTGGCTGAAAAATTATTTGATCTAGTTCGCAGGAATTGTAAATAATAAAAAATGAAAAAATGAAAGATTTAATCACGATGTCATGGGGTGAATTCATGTTAAAAGAAGCCAATCCATCAGAAAAATATTTGAACTATGGTCTGATAAACTATGGTTGATATACTTTCCACAAAAGTAACAGTGGTGATTTAAATTTTTGAGAGATTTAAATTTAAATTTGAAACGATGAGATTGGTTTAAAACTTGATTTTTTACCAAAAAACCAGTATGCAGGAAATCAGTCATGGACACGTGCAAGAAAGAACAAAATCATGGCGCATAAAAAGCGATAGGGTTTTGCAAAACAATTGTATATCATCTTATTAAAATAATTTTGATAACAGAAGAGACGTATATTTAATGATGTGTATAATATAATATACTTAAAACTCGAATGAGCCTATGATTTGAAATCGAAAAGGGTAATAAAAATTATTCAATAATTTTGATTTGATAATCATCCACCTATCTAAAAATTATCCATTAAAGTCCATTTCTAACGGCCATTATTGGTTTTCGACTAAACAAATATGCAGAAAATAAAAGAGGGTAAAAATTGGCAAAATAGCCTGAATAAAATATAGCAGGCAAAAACCTTCATCCTTCTGAAAAAATTCTTCAAAACGTAAACCCTTAGTTCTCAAATTTTTTACTTTGAGAGCTCCTGCAAACTCCAGGTTTTATATTCACGTAGCTGATTCTGAAGAGATGATTCCTAATGAAAATACCTTTAGATTTTATTTTAAAAGCAACTGAAATACTAGAATGTTAAGGTTTAGCGACGATCCCGAACTCTTTTATCGTCAATAACAATTATCACTGACGGTTTGGTTTGCTTATGTGTAATCAGTTATTTTAAAGACTAATTTTTATCACTTATTCGAATCATAACCTTGATCAATTTCATGATAATGATTCATATATATAGCCGAATGCGAGCGATTATATCAAAGCATTTATTTGTTAAAATTATCGCACAAACTGAAAGGAAAGCAAGTTCTCAATGATTTATTAAATTAAAATACCAAATTGAAATCATAAATTTAGAATTCTATAGGTCTTATTAAGAGTTCTAAATTTTACACAATATGGTGTAATACAAAATACTGCACTTTTAAATCACAGAGTGAAACGATTAATAAGGATTATCGTTTATTGCACTGAAGTTTAGAATCCTCCCTCCTCGGATAGAAATAAACCTTTATTGAAAGTACGGTCAGTGGAAGATAGTAATCAACCTTGCTGAAATCCCAGCCGAATATTACATTAGATTAGTTGCACCATGTTAACTGTCAAACTGGAAGATCTGAACTCCACTTTTTTCTCTTCTCGAGATCTTCATTTCACCACTGGCCCCTATTAATAACTTTATGATGTTTATTTCCTTGAATGAATATCCAAAAGAATTAATTAAAGACTCACGAAATCCAAAAAACCTATAAAAAATTTTTTTCAAGGTACACAAATGTTAGATATCTGAGGAAAAATTTTTCTCTTGATGCGATATAGTTAACTTTACCCGAACTTTCGATCTTCAAGAATATTTCTTTTCATAGATAATAAAATTTGTAAATATAAATATGGCTGTAATTTCTTAATTCCACAGCGTAGCTATATATCTAAAATATTGCATTTACGACTATAGTATTCCACTGTAATATTTTGTATAACTTTAGGCACAGCCAAACAGATAAAGGGCTTGTTTAAGAAGGCCAGCAATGTCACGCCACAAAAGCCACAGAGAGGGGACATCAGGGAAGAAACAGCGATCTAGATTACAACTATCCTTAAGCAAAACAGAAGATTAAAGGAGATTACTCACCTCCTATTTTCTATACTATATTAATTATTATTAACATAAAAGGGCAACATATTTATTTATAGATTTAAAACAATCTCGCTAATAATAATAATAATAATTAATAATAATAATAATAATTAATAATAATAATAATTAATAATAATAATAATTAATAATAATAATAATAATTAATAATAATTAATAATAATTAATAAAAATAATAATAATAATTAATAATAATAATAATTAATAATAATAATAATTAATAATAATAATAATAAACAACAACAATAATAAATTTATCGTCACATAGGACATGGGGCATCGAAACCGAAACAGCGAAATATTTACTCAGCGTATATCCATTAAGTTTCTCCTCACTGGCTGTTGGCAGTATAAATTACTTGAGGAAAAAAACACAGACAGTCCACAAGATCGCCAGATTTTTTAATTTTAATTTTAATCCTGGGGAAAGCAAACGTTGTGCGGTAATTTAAAAAATAACGATCCCCCTCTTTTCGTTAAACGAAATATCTTTGCATGAAAAAAAAAAAACAGAAATATTTTAACTATATTTGTTTTCAGCTTAATGTCTAATGGGTGAATTATATTTTTAAGATGCTCCCATTAGAAATGTTTTAGCACGGTACTTAAAATTATTTCTTTGAAAATCTCCCCTCGCACTCCACTTCGCCGCATAGAATGCGCCCAACAATTCAAACGCCAAAATGATTATCGAACAGAATGGAAACTGTAAAACATGACTCCAAGTTTTCCAGTTTTTTTCGCAAAAATTTTACCCTAATTGTTTTATTTTTGATGAATAATAATTAAGAATTATGAATTATGAGTTTATTCAAGAATTTTTCACGAAGATGCCAACATGAAATACTTGGTGCACTTGATCGAACCTGGGTCCCAGGTGCGAAAAATAATTACGGTTGTGTACGGTTGTCGAATGTGAGATTCACGACTGTTTTACCAATGATACCCCTTAATATTTTACTTCTACACGACATATTGGTATTTTGACTAAAATCAAACATCATGCATTACAAATGTTCAGTGGCTTAACGAATGGTTTGCTTGATGGAGCAGAAGGATGCTTCGAATAAATAAACATTTTGCTGCCAATTGCCATGACGATATTATCCGTACTCTTAAATAGTCAGAATTAGGAACAGTGAATGACGCTGAAAGAAAAAGATGAAAATCGAGCCTGATGTACGACATAGTGCCAAGTTATTTAGCAAAAAATTTATTTTCATTATTTTTAAATTCTCAATTTCTAACTGAAAACATTATTCTATAATCATGCATGTTCTTGGACACACTAGTACACCAAACTTTTTTTCTTTCAAAGCGCCCATCATTTCTAGTTAGGCCAGTTTCACTGGCTCGGACTAGATAAATTTTACCAGGAAGTCCGTTCGTTAAAGAACTGCAGGTCACCATCTTCACACGAAAGACAGGTTTACCCAAGCATTCCAATAACTCCAGCATCAAGCATGAAGATGCCCATTAAAAATTTTGAATCGAGATGAACCATTATAACTGTAAACATGTGACACCAGCCAATCACTTTTATCTTTTACTTTAATTTCATACAACTAATGTAATTCAAAACAAAATACCCAGCATCAAAATTATTTTTAGGAAGCACATTCTAGCAAGAAATTTTTCCTTGTGAGCCATTTTGATTAGAATTTCGCCTACACAAATAAGAAATCCCTGAAAGAATGATGAAAGCAAAGAGATAGCAAGGTGAGTTAGACGAGTTGAGAGGAAAGGTTCAGTTTTCCGCCCTCGATAGGATTTACTATTAAAAATTCTATTACTAAATTCTATACTATTAAATTTACTATTAAAAAATTCTAATGGGGACAACTCTCTCAATAACAAGATATGAAAGTTAGCCAATACTACTCCCGACCAAACTCGTTTATGCATATTTATTAAAATGAACAAATATCTCATCGCCTATTAATAATTAGAAATTTTTGTTAAAAAATTAATCGGCCAAGAAAATGCAGGCAAATCACCAGCACCTTCTTTAACTAACAGATTTGCTCCTGGTCTGGATTGAAAGGACCTGGTCTGAACTCAATAACCTGAGTTAGTGCCCATTCGCATGCCTTCAAAAACATAAAAGTGACTTCCTTGTAATATATGACTATTGATTTTATATCTACAGCTTAATCTTTTCTTTATAATTTTGATTTAAAAATATTGTCCATAAAACTCAGAAGTGCCATACAGCCGTCAAAAAAATTCAACAAATTCTTAAAACCAAAAGAAAGTTGGGCAAATTTTGAGGTTATAGGGCAGACATTAGAAAATAGGTTAATACATCCTAATACTCCTCACTGATTATCCATTACCATTTTCACAATGATGAATAAACATAAATAAAGCACAATTATATTTTTCGTATTTCACATAGCCTTCACATAAATAAAACACAAAAACCGATATGTTGAATCAATTCGCCATAAATTATGCGGTAATTTAAATTTCGCTCTACAAATCGTTAATGAACAAATTATATTTTGAACAAATGCCGAAAGAAAAAATATTGAAAAATTCTAAAATTTTGAAATTTAAAAAACCAACAAAACAATCGAATTTCATCTTCAGATAATCAGCAATTAGATGAAAGAAAATTAACAGTTTTAAAATCCATTAAAATTCATAAACCTCGCATTCCTCAAATAGAATAAATCAATTTGAGAAAAAAAGTAATAAATAATAATTTCACAGGCGATTTTACCTTTAATACTATATGATTTTGAAAATAAAAAAAGATGATCAAACCCGAAAAAAATTATGAGAAAGATAAGACTGAAAAATTTATTAAATCAATCCAGAAATCCAGAAAAATATAATTACAATTATGTAATAATTAACACAATAATACGATATAACAATTACAAGAATAAAATAGATAAAATCGATAAATCGCTGAGATCCAAAAATTAAACTATTTCAATTGGATGTAAAAAAATAACTCAAAACCACCTCATCATTCATATTTTCAACCGTATCTTATTTTATGTAGCATTAATCGCATACAAGCACTTGCGTCTTCTTTTGAATCGTGACCACCAACTGAAAATTGACAAATGATTTAAAAATCATTTAAATATGGTTTTAAAAAAAATTACATCAGAAATTACAGACCTAAAACTGCGAAAATAAGGAATACGAATCCAAACTACGACTATACCGAAAGGTCCTTCGGCTTCTACTTCTTTGGCCGCCGACTTCGATCAAAAAAAATGTAACCGAAGCCAAAGTCTGCGCAGAATATTATTAACTTAATTTCCCTTAATAATTAAAAAGATCGTAAATATCAAATAATGGTTGATATAAAAACGGCGGAAGCAAGAAGCAATTAATACGGTTGCTCTAATTTTTCTTGTTTGGCCGGAGGGATACGTTCTAAACATAAAGGTTTGATTTATATTAAAAAATTTTCAGCCTCAATTTTAACAAGATTTCAAGTCCAAATTCAATAAGAATGTAAAGAGTTGAAAAATTAAATAATTTATCATACCCTGACATATTCCTGGTCTAAGGACTTTCAATTTTCATTTTATTTTGTGCTAGTATTCCAGACTATCCGATGTTTCCCAACATGTGTCATTGATCATTATGTTAATGATTTATTACAAATATTATACGGTAAATGTATATTACTAATACCTACCAGTATTAGTAATATACATTTTAAGAAGCTTCGGGTGTAGGATTTATTGGTGTTGTTCGCGTTTTGGAAACTAATATAGAAATGGTTTGCTGAAGATTTTATCTGCGCGATTCAAGACTACTAATATACTGGGTGATGTTTATAAGAAATTATAAATCAATTCCATATAACCAGAAACCAGTCTCTTCTTTGGAGAAGAACCGTTGTTCAAATACATATAATTCATTTTTCATTCCCATACTAGTGCCAGATCTCGGCCAGCAATAATGAATAAATGAATAATCTGAACGGACTATTTCATGACTTCAACTAAATCATGAAATTTCAGTCCATAAAATTGAACCTGCAATACTTTGAGTTGGCTATAGATTGGGGCAACACGAACTGGTGATATTGGCACCAATCACCAAGCGAAAACATATTTATTCACCGAAATTCGTTGCAAAAAGTCAGTTTAAATTTGTATAAATTTTATATCGGATAGTAATAATCCAGCATTGATCACAATGATTTCATTAATGATTATTTGAATATAGTTAAACGACGTTCAATATGCGCCACTTCGATAAACAAAGGATAATTTTTAAATTGATATTTTCAAAGCAGTTCTTAAATCAGAGAAAGTCATATTAAAAGATAAAAGATAAAGTGATTCAGGACATTCAGACTTAGAGAAAATTGAAGGCAGAATTAAGCACAGAAAAGATCAAAGGGATAAATTTTTTCCTTCTCATGGCATTTCCATATCATTTGATTTTCTGTCCATTTTCGAATTATTTTGATCTTCGCTAAAGAAGTTTCACTTCAATAAATTTGGCAGAACAAGTCAATACTAGTTCCTTCTGAGTAAACCATGAGCTAGAAAGATTTCCTCTTAGGTTATTTCGGTCCCCAAAGGTATAAAGAATAGCTCGCAATTATAAAAAAATGGAAATAATGGAAATCATTTAACAATAAAGAGATTTTCGAGATTTGGGGAAATTAAAATTTCAATAAAAGCAAAGCTATTAGTCGCAATTTGATATCCTACTCTGATGATTTTAAAGTTTAAGAAGCGGTGACCATCGTTCGTTGAAGAATCACTGGATATGAAAAAAATAAAAGAATACAAAATATTCCGTACGTATAAAAAGCAAAAAACGATATAGTATGATATTTCACTGAATTAATCTTTAATGAAGCGGATTACACGAAAAACAAAAAGAGTGCTCGACACCCAATGCTGGGAAAGCTCAAAAAGATCAAACTTTTTATTCGGCGAATTCTACAAGGTGTATCATATGATCGACAATTAAGCACTTTCACTAGGCATAAAGCACTTAGATAGAACAAAAAATACCCGAGCACATGCAAAAATGAAGCCAAATACCTTAAAATTTTAATTTAACTCATGTCTAACTCTATACTGAATCCCGATGAAATTTTCCGTTCTTCATGTCATCCTATATAATAAAATTTTCGGCTTAATTTTTCTATATTTTTTTACGCTTCGACTTCAACTGAAAGGTAAAACTTGTCGATACAGCCCTATATATAAACTAAAATGTAACTAAAATGATACTAAAAATAGTTTATGAATAAAAATATCGAAATATTCTAACCATCTTCTTGAATAATAAGTTGGAGAACGTCGCTGGCAATATTTTTCAATGCTCTTTTAAAAGGTGGGCCTTTTTTATGTGGAAAAACTACAGAAGTATCTACAACTTTGTGATGAACAATTCGCATTGCTTTGAAATCGCTTTCCAAACTATGTCCAATAAGAATTGTTTCCGAATTTACGAATTCAAAAAACCGAGCACGTGCCTGAATATAATTTAATTATGTATTTTAATTTACTTTAATTTATGGTTAAAGGGAAAAGATCAAAAAAACCAAAAACTGCCATATAACGCCATTAAAAATCACTATTGTCAGCAAATTTTTACTTGCTTGAAGTCGTATTCTGCTTTGTCAAGCAAATCTTTGGTTAAGCCACTGAATCGACTATTGTAATCCATGACACGGTATTCGGGTTTCACCAAAATGTCGAGCACGAGGTCATCTTTAATATCAACAATAGTTATTCTCGAAAGAGATAAACCGTGCCCAGTGTAGACCATTTCACAATCTAGCGCATATACTCTTGAACTGCGAGGATCATTTGGACCAGATGGCGCTGGGGACTAAATTTTTAAAAAAATATTCTCGAATATCTATGAAAGTCTAAAAAATGACAAAAACTACGACAATCAATACTCTAATTCAAAAAAAGAATTCAAATATCCGTAAAAAAATTATATAGTAACCTCGACAAATGTATCTAAGTCAGTTAATAATGCAGTACTAGTAACATGTGAATCGGCAATACAACAACCCTGTACCATAAGATCAGATGAACAGCACATATATCGAGCTTCTAACGAGCCTTTAACTAAAAACAAATTATATAACTGGAGAAAGTAAAACAAAAGAGTAGAATGATCAATACATGTATCGATAAAAAATAATGCCACTTGACTAAGAGAAAAATTCTTCTTAATATAATCACTACTTGAATGGTATGAAACTGTAAACAACAAAAAATAATTCTTCGAAATAATCATTAACCTTTCTGCTTAAATGCCTTCGCCCAATGATAAATACACTGTTGAGGATTTGCGATTTCACCATTCTTCGTCAAAAAGAATTCAGCCCCACACCGACAGCAAATTCGCTTCAAATCTGCAAAAAAAAATTTTCTGTCATTCTTCTTTGATTTAAAAAAAATACTAGCATAATCAGTTATTTAAGGCAACCACCATAATCTAACGAACGAATTTGCTTGTTTCTCTGGCTATTAGTTTTATTCTTTTTTACTTAAAAAAAATTAATATCTGCCAAAAACATTGATACTTGACAACAATCAATATTCGCCCAATGTATTCGCCCTAGGCAGAGCCGAGAACTAACCATTTTCGTCCGTATAAATTTTCGCTTTATTGTCATATCCACTTGCAACCTTTCTATCCGTATCTATTATCTTTTTATCTGCGTCTTTCCAAAGAGGAAATCCATTATCGTATAATTCTGCCATACTAATGACGTATTTTTCGTTTAAAGAAGCATAAAATTCTCTGAAAATGTGCAAATAAAATCTTTCTTTCCCTCTAAAACGAACAAATTCTTCAGCTAAATTATGAAAATTTTACTTTTCAGTGATTTGTTTATTTCCTGGCCGATAGTCACGTTTAACGACACTGAATGAACCAAGATGCCTTCCAACAAGAGTCGCTTCATGTGAAATAGTTTTAAAGCCTACAGAAAATCTTTTTAAAACATTTTTTAACTAAAAAATAAAAAATTAGCGAAGCAAATTTTTAAAAGCCAAAAAAATTTGATACAATTTTTCACTCTATTTCATATTTACAAAATAAAAAGACTGCTTTTTTCACAAGTTAAATTGCGAAAAAATCTTTAAAAATCTTTGATCGAATTGGAAAAAAACAATTATAAAATGAACAATAATATTTAAAAGAAAACTGTACTATTCATCGAATAATCTATTAATAGTTGACCGAAAAAAATTAATTATAGCCAATTCTAACCATTTGGACTTGATCCATTTTTACTACTTACACGTAATTTATTCAAATTATTGACAGCAGAACAAATATATCCAGACTTTGTCGAAGCTTGATCTTTAATTGCTTTTTCCTTGGCTTTTGCCTGCATATTATAAAAAATTAAAAAAAAGTGAATCTTATGAAATTTTCATTTAGTAGAAAAAAAAGGCCCAAATGCTTTCGAAGAGAACTATAAATGAGATACATAATCAAATAAGGTTCAAATTCTTCATTTTAAAAATAAATTAAAAGAAGAAAATGAATCATGTACAATTTATAAATTTTAAAAAAAATTTTAATTTTAATTTCGAATTCGATCTTACTACAACTATTCGATTGCACAAAGCAATTTTAATTATTAATTATTATCTTTTCGTTCATTTTATTCTTTTCTTATACATTTTCTATTCTTCTCTGTCCAACACTTTTGTTCGACCTTTTCTATTTTTTATAATCCTGTCTTTGTATTTTCTTACTTTCAAATCACTCACCAGAAATTATTGCCAAAAAAGAGTAAAAATAAAAAAGCAAACCATCAAGATCGCTTCCTCAGGCTTTTTGCAAACTTTCACGAATTCATTATAAAATAAATTTAAATACCGTACACGAACTGTGAACGGCACCTTCCCTGTAGCAAATGGATCTAATGGTATTAATTTCATAGAAGTCGCTGCCTTAAAATCGTAAAAAAATTAACAATGAAATCATTACGGAAAACGTTGAACGATGTTCACAAAATGCTACTTTGGAAGTTTTTGCGCATTTGATTCGAGTGAGTATTACATTTACATTTATAAATTTTATATAATATAAAACACTAAATTATATATTTAAGATCTAATTAGTGGGAACAAAAAAATATGCAGAAAATTGTTAAAAATAAAATTAGAACCGAATTTACCGTGGTTAAATGGGCTTTTCTTTTTTCACCTTTGTCGAAAGTTCCAGCGAGTGTCTCAATTTTCGTGAACTGAGATAAATTTTTTGATTTATTTTCATTCACGCTAAATATAAATAAATACAGAGTTCTACGACAAGGCATAGTTTAAAATCAATGTAAATTCCAAGTTAAATGCAACTTTTTTCAAAACAATTCGATAGAAAGCCTATTTTTCTAACAGATTCACCATTTCTATTTAACTCCACTGACTACTCCTCTTTCACCAAAGATTGCCCATCAATGCTTAAATTTCACTTTTAATGAGCTTTATTCTCGCCTAAAGAGATCGAACTCACTATAACATACAGTTAAAGCAGATTATCCCACTTCTATCGCCGGTTATTCCCAATCTATGTAGGAGAAAAAAATTAAAATATGCAAGACAAGACCGCAACAAACATCCAAATGCTTGTTCAATAAAAAGAGATTAAATATAAAATAATTTTTTACAATAGCACAGTTCCAAGGAACCAAACAATATCTACCAAAGAATCTAACAGATCTATCCTAAACTGAAAAGTGAAAAATACCAATGAAACAACCAATAGATCCACTGAAATCTGGAAATCACTTTCCAATTCTCCAAATAATACAATAATATTTATATAAAAAACATTTTTATTAAAAACACTTACTTGGCCATAGCTTTTTTGTCCTTTGCCACTTTCCAGTAACGCATCGCTAATTGCTGTGAAATATTTGGAGTAAGAACTTTTTTATTATCAATCTGTGTTGATGATCTGGACTAAAATTAAACAAATAAAGCAAAATAAAAGATGCCAAAGAAAAAGTGGAACAATCAATCTACTTTGGAGACAAAGTTGAGTCAATTTTTTAAAATAAAAAACAAAAAACGATTAATGAAATAAATGTTATTCCAGCATATTTAATACTAGTAACAAACCTGGCTGGCACTAGTATTTTGATTTTTTAGCTTTAACTCGTCAGAATTGAAATGTTCTTTGCAATTTGCACTTGCCAATGATGGTTTCTTCTTTTTTTCAGGTGGTTTCTCAAAACACAAAAAAGTGGCATAAACCGATTTACTTAAGCAATTTTCTGACTTTTTCCAAATGAAAACATCGATTTTTTTGAACATAAAAAGTTTTTTAAAAGGATAAAAAAAAAAGATAAAAGATAATATTACAGCATAACCAAAGAAAATTAATTAAATAAAATAAACAAATTAAATAAATAAACAAAAAGAAAATATAACTGATGAGGAAGAAAAGAATTATGCAATAACTAATATAATATCATAAATATGAATATAACAATAACATAAAATAATAAAAAAATAAATAAAAAAAAGACATAAGATAAGAAAAGAAAAGATATAAAAAAAGATATAACAAGAAAGTTAAAATGAGAAAATTAGATAAGAAAAGCAAACCTCGTCGTCAAAAAGATCTTCGATAAAAACACTTTTTTTGTTTGCCAACTTCTGTAAATCTTTTTTTTCCTTTTTTGTTTTTTTCACACAATTTACATCCTCATCCTTGTTTTTTTCCAGCACACTTCTTCCAGATTTTAAAAGAGCGATAGGAGTTGGAGTATAACCACCCAAATATTTCAAAGGCCCAACAGACTGCCCAGAAGTGCAAGGCTGCTGCTGCAATTATTTACCAATTTGTATGAAGCATTCTCAAGATAAATAGATTTATTCTTAATTTATAACATTTATAATAAAGATTTGATCACTTGTTGTTTTTCTTCTAACAGCTCCCACCATTACTGGCTAGGCTGGCTCCGCTGGCTACAAGGGTAAGACGTCTCCAAGTTCGGCCCAACGCCATCGCTATTATAATAATAGAATACTTGTTTCATTAATCCTCCCTTCTCCTTCAGTCTTAGATAAGCGACTAAATATGCAATTCATAAGTAAAAACTAACCAGAACAGATTTTTTTGTGGGTATATATTCAGAACCATTCGATGAGGAAGCAATCTTTTTGTATTTGTTGACCATTTTATTCTTTTCTCGGCATTCTATTTCCAGTTTCTTCTTCAATTCTTCGATACGTGTATCAATTTTTGCAACGGTCTTCACATACTGTTGCAATTGCTTCTCACGCGAGGTTTTGGAAAACTGAGTAACAAAATTGATTAAGCTTTTTTTTTAGCGAAAGTACACTCGGTTCGATTATCAAAAATTCGTCCTCTTTTTCAATTTTATCATTATGACATTATCATTAAAAAATAAACAAGTTGAAAATGGTGCTCACATGATTATATAAAGTTAAAAGTTAATAACACAGTAAATTGTATTATGTACTAGAAGCAAGAACCGAGCTCCATAAAAATAATTTTTTAACGATTCTCCAGGATAACACTCCAGCAAGTTCCCGAGACAAGCTCTAAGTTTAAGCACTAAGCTCTAAGTAAGTTTGCATGGGAAATTTATCATTATCCTCCACATTCCTCAGGAAATAGATTAATCTTGAGGTGAAATCATATGCGCAATTCCTATAATTCCTATAGCCAGAAGTCCGAAAAAACAACTAACTATATTTATTTCTTCAGAAAAACAGGAATTTCACCAAATTGGCAAACTGAAAAAACTTTTTAGTCACCTTATAAATTTCTGACAAAAAGTATATTTTACCATATTTTTTACCATATTATATTTTTTCTGAATGATTTCCTTCTTCGATGGATCAAGTATTTCTTCCACGCTCATTTCTAAAGGCATCTGTGTAATCAGAGGTACCGAAATGGATGAATTCTCAGAAATCTTTCTGCTGACTGCTACAAAAATCCATCATCTTAACAATCACAGCAACCAAAAAATACGATTTAAAAAATTTATATTTGAAAAAAATGAAAGATACTTTTACTTTTTTCATTAATCATTACTGCTTCAGAAACATTTGCAGTATATATTGACGTAGAAACCGGTGCCAAATAGGATGCCTGTGAACCTCTCCCAGAATGGCAAGCTTGATCTTCATCATTTTTTTCATCGTAAGTTCTTTCAATATAACCCACATATCCCATAAATGGTTGTGATACTGATGATACTTGTAATGATGATGATGATGGAAGCTGCTCGACAGATGGTGAAACCTGATCTAAAATGATCCCTCAAGAAATTTAACTCTCATCTAACTTTTCTTTAAAAAATCCTAAGATTTAGTGTCAAAGAAAGTATAACAAACTTTTATCACTATATTATATACAATTATATATATATATATAATATATATGTATCATTGTTTTGTTGTCTACGAATCGGACAAGTTTTTTTCTCTTCTTTCTTCAAATTTTTAATTATCTTTAAATTTCGCTTTTTCAAAATTTAATAATGTTTATTCTCTGTCTTTAACAAGAATAAACCTACAATGGTGTCAAACATCCGGGCGGCTGCTGGGGACCCACCTGTATCTCTATCTCCAAATGACTCTGATGAAAGGGTCACGTCTCTCTGACGTTATGTTCGCGTTTTCCGACGCGAATAATACTTCTGATCCGGTGGTGCAAGCCACAAATATACGATTCGGGTGTAATAATAATTAATAATAATAATAAAATAATTCCAAGGCATGAACATAGAATATGCTCGCGAACCGAGATAATTACTCAAAACCCGCCAAGGGAGACCAGAACTTATCCGCTAAAACTTTGTAAGCGCCGCGAAGTGCGCTATATCTGCTTGAAACATCAGAACTAGGTGATGATAGGAAACCTTCTTCACCTTCTTCGCAAAGCAACAATAACTCGAGAAGGGGTCAGTGAAATGATATTAATGGGGTACCTATTAAAGGTGTTAAAGATCGCCTCAGAAGATGGGAAGAATTTCTTGAGGTCAAACTTATCCACAATGCACCATCTATTGCCTCGAATATAAACTGAGCCCGTCGAGCCTTGCAACTGTGAACCGCCAAAAAAAGGAAATAATCTCCGTAATCCATAAGCATAAGGCCAATAAAACTCCCGGAGAAGATGATCATCAGGAACTCTTCAAATATTGTTCATCATCGTTCATAAGTCATCTTCAACAAATGTATTCTCTGGTATGGTAAAAGGTAATAGTACTAAAAGATTGGAGCAAAGCAATTCTGCTTCCAATTCCTAAAAAAGGTGACAGGACGTACTGCAACAATTACCGAGGAATCAGCCTACTAGACATCTCCGGAAAAATTTTCTCTCCCTTTCTGCTAAATAAACCCATAGCAGAAATAGCACAATGAGTCCTAATCAAGCTGGATTCAAACTGGGACAACAGTTGTGCTGACCAGATATTTATGCCAAGAAGAATGCTAGAATATCGCTTAAAATACCAGCAACCCACCATCATTTGCTTTATCGATTTTGCAGCTACTTTCGATTCAATTGATAAAGCAACTCTGGAAAGTGATGGAATGTGACAGTGTTCCAGAGATCATTCGGCCCATAAAGGCATTTTATCAGCATATCCTGGCACAGGTCTTATATTGGGAACTGACAGATCGAAATAAGAACTGGCGTTCCGTCAGGGCTGGGTCCTTTCCTCTACAGTATTAAACTATGCGATAGACTGGATAATGAGCATCTTAGAGCACAGCATCACAGACCTTAAATAACACTTATGATATAGTCCTTTTTGCTGACAATTATAAGGAAATGCAAATAATGATAAGCAATGTGGAAGAAACCAATGTAAAAAAACGATAGTATTTTCGTCTTATATATAAGATGCTGATAAAATACCTATTTATCAGTTCATTACCGTCACGTTGAGGAAGTGCTTGACTTCAAATACTTCGGATCCACTCTCATCCCCAAATGACTAGGCATAGGATGAAATTGTGATCCTGATAACGACAGCGAAAATTATGTTTTTTCGATTGAAGAAACATAAGGAACCATCGCGAAATCACTATGAAGATGAAAATCCGCGTCCATATAGCTGCAATTCGCTCGATCTTTCTATATGGCTGCAAAACATGGCCAATGAGAGTGGAAAATATTAAGAAGCTATTAGACTTTGACCACTGTAAGATACATTTTATGGATCCATCGGAAGATAAAATTGTACAAGACTGTATCCATCTTCGCTCAAATACCACCTCTACTAATAATGTTATTGTAGAGCGTGGCCTTCGCTGGTTAAGGCATGTTCTACTTCGTCCACCACAGGAGTTGACGCATATTTCGTTATTTGCTAAACCGTGTGATTGTTGGCCTCAAAAACGAGGAAGGTCAAGACCTGGACTGATTTAGGAAAAATTTTGAAAACATAGCGAAACCAGTGATATATAGACTTAGACGATAGAAAAAGGAATGGCTTCTATTACTACTAGCGATGGCGTCGAACCGAGCAGCTTGGAGATGTCTTACTCTTGTAGCCAGCGGAGCCAGCCTAGTAATGATAAGAGTAGAACCAGTAATGATAAGAGTTTTTAAAAGAAAAAGAAGAAATTATAAAAAAGTATAACGGAGTGTAGATGTGGCAAAATGTTGTGTGCAGTGAAATTAGACGATGTGTTAAGAGAATACCGGGAAAGAGTGGCTAATAACTGGTGGTTAATATAAAGAGGTTGATGAGAAGTTACTAAGGGATTATGGTGTTAAACGAATTATTTAATACTCTATTGAAGCAAAAAATCAAAAAGGAGATTAATTAAAATTAACAAAAATTTTTAGCGAAAAATTTGAATATTTCCACATACCATTATAATGATAAAAAAAACAGTTTGGACGTTTGCATTCCCCTTCAAACGGGCAAACTATATTTTCAAATAATCCTGTGCGACCAATCATCTGAAAATTGAAATGTATAAAATAAAACCGAAATACATAAAAAAACTAGCTTCTAGCAAAATCCAATTCGAGTTGAATGCACAAATATTATATTATGAATTCGATGTGAAAGAATTTTAAAAGATGTAAAAAAAGTAAATAAAAAAATTAAACATTAAGCAAACTTAAAAGGTTTTTTCGGAAATTTTTTTTTTAGAGATTATCGTCTCGAAGCTACCAGGGACTGAAGGAAACCTTCGGATAAAACTCGGGTGGTGCTAATCGCCTATTTCTTTTAATGATTGGCTCGCAAAAATTTATTGAAATAATGATAGCCTAACCAGAAATGGCGAACGTTAACCACCGACCATGATAGCCACACATAAATGAGAACTCCGGTAAGAGCCAAAGAATCACTTTGGGAAGCAAATTAAACAAAATTATAGTAATTACCATTTGCAATGCACAGTAAAAACAATTATTAACAAATTAAAATAAATAAAAAATCGAACCGAAACTATAAAAAACTTTTAATGATTAAAAATAAATTTCGTAGCATAAAATTTCGCAGCTTAAAATTAAAAAAAGGAAAAGTTATAATTCGTTCCAAAATTATTAAATTATTATTAAATTATTAAAATTATTATTAAATTATTAATGAGATTATTATGAAATGACAAAATTTTAAATGCATTCTATCGAACAAGCAGAATTTTTTATTTTTTAATTTTTTTAGAATCAATTCAAATTAATTTGATATAATTTGATATAAAAAATGAAATAAATATTTATTTGAATAAAAAAAACAAAATCTTAAACAAAAAAAATTATTCACCACAAAATTATCATTAAATTGATTGTAAATAAAGTCGATTGATTTACTGATAAACTGAAGAGATCAAGACAACGCCAACTACCAAGTCAATGAGTCACCACGGGGAAATTGATGGAACCAAGGTGCGAAGTTAAAATGATAAAAGTATTAAAGCTTGCGCCTTGGATTATTTAAATAACCGGAATCGACGAGCAAAATAACTGTGACCGCTATCAGACTGGCAAAAACCCGTAGAAAACTGGAAAGGTTCAAAATGGACAAAAAAGTTTGGGATAGCAGTGGAAGACATAGATTGCTATTGTGAATGCAAGAAACCCCGCCCACAATTTTCAATGTCTTGTAGTAAGCCTTGTAAAATGAATGCTTTTTATAGCTTTAAAGCCAAGTCTATGTCTGAGTTTTAATACCTATTATTAATCCACTATTCCTTCTATAATATTCTCTTATGTCCATTTAACCCTCAAACTTCGTTGTACCCTTTTGTTACAACCCTTTTAATATATCGTCATCACCATAATCACCACTCATTCCCCCGTGAAGATCGGATTTATAATCGGGCGGGGGAAGGGGGTCCTTTTTAGGTCCTGGGAACCCCTTATTAACACCCCACAGGGATTAAATTCACAAAAGTTTGTATGTGAAATACTTGTATGTACATGCAAAATGAATGCTAGCAAATCGATTTTAGGCAAGACAGGACAGATTGCAATGAACTTTGCTCCACTGATAGTTTACAAAGAACTTTGCTCGACTAAGATAGTCTCGACAAAAAGTCTTTCCGCTCTTTCTGCGCTTTCTGTGAAAAATAAATTATTTTAGAATCCACTCCTTACTACATACAGCAGGAATAGCGTCTCTGATTCATCAGCGTGGTTCTCAGATAATTTTTTCTCAGATAATCGGTGCGGATTTGTCATTGTTGAGATGGAGTGAGATATGAGGTGAAAGGAAATCGAGAGGGAGAGCAGTGATGACTTGCTCAGCTTCGATTCTTACTTGCGCATCAGGTAGAGAGTCGACCAACAAAGTTTTTCTTTTATTAGTTTTCATGTAACCTTCGTCCTTTATCTTCATTCATCATATATCCGCAGTTGCTGCATGGACTGATAAATTTTTTTGCTGGCGAGCGGTCATTTTAGCAAATTGTTCTTCATTCTATTAAAATTCTTTGCAAACAAAAATTACGATAAATTATTATTAAATTATACGATAAATATAAATATATTAAATCAATTAAACTATATGAATTAAAAAAAATATTATATATATTGCAAATATGTGCGCAGCTTGATGATGATTGGTATTAAAAAAACAATGTGGTGATTGGTATTAAAAAAACAACGCTTTGGTTCAAATCGCTGCCAGAAAGCCTCTACCTTTCCGGTGAGGTCTTTGGGCAAGAATCTCGTAAAGTTATTTTGTTAACACTATCACAATATGAGAGTGCCGCATACTAGAGTCATGCTGGCTCGGACATCGACCAAATTAACAAGGTCCACGTCAGAAGAGCTGAGGGACTAAGGTTATCTGATGACAAGTGGACTACTGGAACAGCACCATTTGGTATAGGAATAGTCTGGCTCAAACTTTATAAGATAATCTGGAATCTGATGGAATATTAATATATTAGTAGACCTAATCAAAGAGTTATATAAAAGTATGAAGTCGCTGTGGATGAAAAAAAGACTTACGTCTACACTAACTGAGAAATAGTTGGTAGCTCAATGTTTCAGATGTGCTGGCTGGTTCCTGTTCTGGGAGGTTGTTGTGAATTTTTCTCCTCAGATCTTGCAACCATTTTACATTGGTCTATGAATCTTTTTTTTCCCATATGTTCTTCCAGTATTGCTTCTATTTCTGGTGGCTCTGTTCTTACCATATTGTTGCAATGAAATTAGAGTGTCAACTTAAATGATTCCTTGGAGAAAATTTATCTTTGTAAGCAAGCAGCTATCAAGTGCAGCATATACCAAGGCCATTAACTGTTTCCCCTATTCTTCTGCATAAGTCTTAACTCCCCTTAGTCTGTTAATCACCAGAACAGAATACGGATATGAAATTATGAAATTCATGAGCAGAACTATCAGCCACCTTCTTTACATGGATGCAAAAAGTGAACAAGATAGTGACTTCTTCATCCATTCATCTATGTCAGATCTATAGCGAGGACATTGGAATGTCATTTGGATTAGAGAAATGTGGCCAGATGGTAGAGAGGAAAAGTAGTAATGACTAATGGGGTGGACCTACCATCAGGACATATCAGGGCATATAAGTTAGCTACAAGTACCTTGGTATCCTATAGTCACATGGTAAGCATAAAGAGGCATGGAAGATTGCAACATCTAAATATCACCAAAAGACTAGAAACAAATCTTGAAGAGCCAGCTCAGTGGGAAGAATAAAATCCATGCCATAAATATTTACGTTGCCCCTGCCAATCAGATATGCGGCAGTCACTGAAAGATGGACGAAAGAAGACATGAAGGCTGCTGAAGGCTAGGAAACTCCTCAAAATACGCCCCAAGTCCAATATCTAAAGGCTGCACGCCAGTCGGAAAGAAGGTGGGTGATGTTTGGTTGGTGTGAAAGCCACTATCTTGAGTGAAACTTAAAGCATCTAGAAATATATCAGCAAGATGGTACCAAAGAAGAAGCTGTTAAGAGAATGACTGAAGCATCTACAAACATTGGAAAAGACCAAGAATAGGAAGTAACATAGCAAAGCAAGATCCTCCACGAGATGTACTATCGACAGGTAGCTGAGGTAGCTGATATTAACTAATCCTATCAATGGCTGGAAAAGACTGGTCTAAAAGGCATTGATTATAGCCTTAGGAGAACATAGGAGCAAGCATTAAGATCCATCGACCAAACTCGATAGGATGATGCAGATTGTGCAAAAATGTCGCAAAATGTCGCAAACTGTGCAGCAAATAGTGGCAAAATGTAAGCAAAAGCATGCAGAAACAACATACACTGAAAGATATAACCAAGTAGCTGGAACACCAGAACGTCTGCTCGGTATAAGACTTAAACCATACCAAGAAGGCGAAATCTTATGGGACTTCCCATCTAAATAGACAAACAAGTTGTCGCCAAATGGCGAAGATAACTACAAATATGGGCAGAATATTCGCATCTGCCTGCCTATTCTCCAGCGAGAGTATTAAGAAAGTAAAAGAGACAAGAGTTGGGAAAGATTTTAGAATATATCACAGAATAAGAGTAGACTGTCTGAGGTAGCTTAAAAGGGCTATCTTCCATTGAGGGCTATCTTCAGCGCTATCTTCATCAAAATGAGAGGTAGCTTAAAATGGCTATCTTCCATTTTGAGAAAATGGGAAGATAAACATGAAACACGTTTTTCATCGCCCATTTCAAATCGTAAATAAGCTCTCAAAAAATCATTTTTGGTCATTTTGGGCTTGTTTTTGAAGAAAGGAAAGCAAGAATGGGGAAGGGAAGGTGTGACGAATGGATTGGGCATCTTGGGGAGCGTTGGGTAAGGGCGTTGTCGTCGTCGCCGTCGTTCTGCGTTGGTGCTACCGAGTACCTTATCCATTTCTCATAGATTTGCCATTCGGGTGCACATGCCCAGTTTATAAAGTTTGCTATAATTTTATGGCGTTTCTATGTTGTTTCTGTATTTATTTTAAACTTTAATTCCCAAGTTTGAGGGTCCAGCCTTTCGCAGAGAGATGTATATAAGCAGAATGTTGGCCAGAAAATATATATAGTGATATAGTGATATATATATATATATATATATAATGATATAAAATAGTGCTTTTATTAGTCAAGAAAATTCCTGCATAGAGGGAAGTTTGGAATCTATGCAGACGTGGAGTGGATTCTCGAAAAATCTTTAAAGAAAACATATATTGGAACTGGGAATCGCTGAGCTCCACATTTTTTCTGTGCTAGCCAATCAATCAGACAGAAGTAATAGACAAGATGGTAATAGACAAGAATCGGAGATTAACACTGGTGATTAATATAGCAACACCAAGCGATAGAAACATTAGAAGAAATTGAGAAGTTAGAGAAATTTAAGATTTGAAAGAGAAACATACAATACCATTAATCACAGGAAAAATGCCACAAAATAAACAAATACTAATCCATTCCTCGACCGATATTTGTCGTTAATCCGCACGATTCAAATTGTTGCTCTTATATAGCCATTACAATAGAAGATCATCTTGATGACCTTTGTTTCGTCTGGTTGCTGACCTTTCATCTCTGATCCATTGAATCATGTTTTGCTCATTTTTGAATACATATATACCTGCAATGTTCGACTATGCGATAGACTGGATAATGGACATCGCTTGTCGGCACTCAGAGTATGTCGGTACTGCAGCGAGAATCGAGCTCAGGACTAATGTAAATAAAGGTACTTTCGTACTTTCGCTTTATATCAAGAAGCTGATAGAATACGTATTTTTTTAATTCATTACCGATCACGACTTGGATGCACTCTGATGCCAAATGGCCAAGCGAAAGACCAAATTGCAATGCGAATTATGGCAGCTAGAAATGGTTTCTTCCGGTTAACGATATCTCTATGGTGCCGTCGTGAAATCACCATAAAAACAAAAGTCCGCGTCTCTATAGACGCAATTCGTTTGATCTTGCTCTATGGCTGCGAAACTTGACCAATGAGAGTGGAAGATATTATGAAATTTTTACGGGTCCTCAAAGTGGACAAAATCTCAGCGCGTCCATTTTTGCTCAAATATTATTTCCATTAAAAGTACCATCTAGAGCCTTCGTTGGTTAGGGCGCGTTCTTCGTCTTCCACTGCAGGAATTGGCATATTTCGTTAGTTGCTAAATTGGCATATTTCGTTAGTTCCTGTGATGGATGGCATCAAAACGAGGTAAGCCAATCAAGACCTGGACAAAAAAGATTTTGGACGTTATACGTGGACCAGTGATAGGACTTAGATAATGGAAAAAGAAATGGCTTTTATTACTATCGTCGGATCGAATAACATGGAGACGTCTTACCTTTGTAGGCAGCGAACGAGGCCAGCTTAACCAGTAATGGTGAGAGTTGTTAGAAAGTTGCTATAGAGGATCGACTCTTCATTCCCATCCTGAAGTGATTCGATAAACTACTTGAATAGTTTTATTTACGTTGTTGACTCGTTTAAGAATTATTAAGAAGCTTTACGAATAGAATAACAGAATTAAATTCCAGATCTTGGCCATCAGAACAGACTACTTTCAGACTACTTTGTTTGCCATTGTTTGAATTTCACATCTTGCTTTCGCTATCTTTGAGCATTTTAAATGCGAGTATATACATCTGTGAAAGCTTCAATCAACATTAGCTCTTGCGGGTCATCGAGTCTGAAAGGGATTTCAAAATTGGTATATTTGTTTCTCTCCAAGATTTCATTTGATTTACCTGCGTGTTGAAACGACTACAAAACAAGTCCTTTAAAGTGCGAAAATAAAATGAGAATAGTGGCATACATGTAATCGTAGGCCCAAGAGCGCAAACATTCTATGTTTGCCTGAGCCAAAATTCGTTTAAAAGTGCAGTGTATAACAATAAAAACTTTCATAATGATTACAAGGAAAATATTATTTCCGAAGATTAATGAAAGAAATAAATTTTTATAAACATATTTTGTACAAATGAGACTCGAAGAATTACTACCTTTATCTTGCTATAAATTCCACAGTGCCCATCATATTTCTTTATCCCATTATGTATTTCATTCATCCAGCTAAAACAATAATGAGCTTTCTAAAGCAAACCTAGAAAAAAGATTTTATAACGAAGTTATTTTCATTATAAAGTATATTAGCGATCTTTACTGAATATAACTTATTACTTTTAAAAATATATCACAGTTGAATTCGATGTGAAATATGTCGACCAAAAATGAAATTATAACTATCTATCTCTCTTCTTCTTTTTCTAATAACTGGTTTCTAATAACTCTCACCATAACTGGTTAGGCTAGCTCCAGCTGCTCCAGGGTAAAACGCTTCCAAGCGGCGCGGTCTGATGCCATCGTCGACAGTAATAGAGCCATTCCTTTTTCCATGGTCTAAGTCCATATATTGCTGGTCCACCTATACGTCCAAAATCTTTTCTCCGTATCAGTCCAGGTCTTGATTGGCCCACCTCGCTTTTGACGCCAATCGTCACATGGTTTAGCAAATAATGAAATATGTCAACTCCTGTGGTAGACGACGGAGAATGTGCCCTAACCAGCGAAGCTGGCGCTCTGTGATAACATTATTTATGCAAGTGGTATTTGAACGAAGATGGATGCGATCTTGTGAAATTTTATCCGCTCGACGGATTCGTAATATGCACCTTAGACAAGATATTGCTCTGGTCAAAGGCAGATAACTTTTTAATATCCTCCACTCTCATTGGCCATGTCTCAGAACCATATAGTAAGATCGAACGGACCAGAGCAATATAGATGCGGACTTTCGTTTTTATGGTATTTTCACGACGGCTCCATAAGGGTTTCGTCAACCAGAAGAAAGAACTGCCGTGATCCGGGCTATAATATCGTCTTTTGCCTAGCCATTTGGTATTAGAGTGGATCCAAGATATTAAAAATCAAGTACTTCCTCAACGAGTTACAAAAGGAGGCATTTTACCAGCTTCTTGTATATAAGACGAAAAGGCTTTTGTTTTATTTACATTGACCCTAAATCCGATTGCTGCAGTTGCTGATACGTTATTTAGCATTATTTGCATTTCATCAGCAAAAAAGACTACGTCATTAGCGTATTCAAGATCTGTGATACGATGCTCTGGACTGATCTGGGCATCTCTTGAGTGATGTCCATTATCCAGTCTATCGCATAGTTGAATATTGTACGGGAAAGGACACAACCTTGATGGACACCAGTTCTTATTTCGAAGGAATTTATCAGTTCCTCATATACACAAATCTGCGCCTATATATGCTCATAAAATGCCTTTATAAGTCGAACGATCTTTTCTCAAACACCGCCGCGTTCCATCATCCTCTAAAGCACCGCTCTATCAATTGAATCAAAGGCAATCGCAAAGTTGATGAAACATGTGACAGTATGTTGCAACTATATAAAAGACAACCTGATTAACACACCTAACACACCACTAGAAAGAGAAAATTTACCATTTGTTAGCAGCGTTAACGGTAGATCAAGCATTTAATCTATTTCTTTTTCCCTCTTCAATTTAATCGAGGAAATTCTATTCCAATATTTTTTCCTAGATTTGCATATTTGCGTGTTTCTAGAAATTGAAATAATGAGGGAGTCCTCACCATTACTGGTTAAACTAGCTCCACTGGCTTGTCATATTGAGCAATATGCCAGGGAGTCTCTTGGCGATACAAATACAGATGAGTCGCCAGCACCACTCGGATTTTTGTACAGGTTTACTCCTGTGGGGAATTAAACCTCAGCATCGACACTCCCAATCCAGCAACAACCCACTGAACCATTCTATCTCCAGTTAGAAATTACGAAAATAAAAAAATACTTAATGAGTATCATGAAATGAGTATCGAAGTCTACACATAAAATTTATTAATTTAATAAAAAAAATAATTGAAAAACAGCTTAATAGCAAGACTTTAATGGCACAAATGGCAACAAACTTGATAATCTATTAGGGGTACCACTCCGACAATGAATTGCATAGACAGTACAAGATCATTAGTGTAAAAATCTCATCCATTCAACTGATAAGGCTACTGGCTTAAGATAAGGACACATATTACAAGAAAGCAAATAAATCACATAAATCTTTAAAAATTAAGATCATCAAATAGTATGAGTAAAGTTGAAATAAAAGCACAAGGTTTCATTAATATTTTAGTTAACTTTTATTATTAACTTATCAACTTTAATTTTGAAAACTTTTAAAAGCTTTCAAAAAAATTTGTCAAAAAAATAACCAAGTTTTAAAAAAATTTTTTGTAAAAAACCATTTATTTTTGAAATATTTCTAACTGAATAAATATAAAAACATCTAAAACATCTAAAGAAATAATTTAAAAAAATTCACAAGCCAGGTGCACAGTTTTCGAGAAAAATATTCGAGACAAAAAAAATCCGAAATAAATCTTCTGAATCTTTTTCCATCCAATAAATTTAAACGAATGCAACATGAATTTAATCACACTCCCATGCTGCTACAGTGCCAAACTCCAATAAAATGAGGGTCCCTACAGATAAATTAAAAATTACCATTGGGATATGAGAGATATAGAAATGTGGGGGTGGAAGAATGAAAGATAAAAAGAAAAAAAAGTACAATTCATGCACCAGCGTTATCAGATTAAACACTTGAGTCACTATAAAACCCTATTTGCAAATCCATGTACCATTAATAAACACAGAGAATCTAGGTGAACTACTGTGTTGATTAAAACTAATTGATTAAGTAATAACAGTCGGTTTGTCGCGACCAGTGAACTGCGCCATCTTGCTTAGATCCAGTGCGATAAGAACTAAAGGCTTCAGCACATCCTAAAAACAAAATTGATCTTAAAATATGTCTTTCATAGCTTATGGTCTTAGTATATTTCAATTTAAATTTCAATATATCAAACTTAAAAATCTTAAAGCTCAATTTTGCCATAACCTCTAGTCTATTTTCAGCATAATTCGTGTCATTGGATGGGATATGTCAGCAGAGATATATCTGCTAATATATTTCCACTTCCCTTTCACCGAATACCCCGTCGTGACAGGCCCACTTATTGACTTTATATATCGTCTTAACAGATGCTATTGCATTAACAGACTTTATTTCGTAGAAACACAATCGTTTTTCCGTCGTGGAAGAACGACAGAATTCTCATTTTTAGAACACTGGAGAGAGATGCTGTATTTTGCGCGAATTAATTCTATTCAAACTACCGAGGTAATTCACAAAAGTAAATAGATAAATTATTAGGAATATCATGAAAAGATGAAACAATTTCAATTTTTGCTATAAATGATTCCCGAGAGACACATTAAAAAATCTATTGCGTGTTTGGTTTCTGTTTTAATTTTAATTAAAGAAAATATTTCATCTGAAAAATCTCTCGAATTCCCAATAAATACAAAAAAAAAAAAATGTTAGAGCCCATTAAAATGCGTTTTTACGTTTGGCGTTATAGACTCTACAAGATGAGTGTGGCTCTGTTATGTAGATAAAATAAGCCAACAGATTAAAAACATACCATAATATATACTCACTGTGTCGCTAAATGAGATATTTTCTATTATTTCAAATTTATTTCAAACTGATGACCCAAATAAAGCCTTTCATTAACTTATTAATTCTTTGCCTTTACATATATCGATAAAAAATAAAGGCCAATTTATGGTATATATTGTATATTCTTCTCAAGGTAATCGTCCTTCTTCCTTCATTTTGGTGTTATCAAGAGACCCGAGCGGTTTCGTCTCAATATTTCAATATCATATACTTTGTTATTTAACATCCCTTATATTGTTTAATTTAATCATTATTTGTTTTGAAATAGTTATCTTTGGATTTAATTCCAACATTGTTTTTCTTTTTTATTATTCATTTATTATTTTATTGTATATTAATCGGCTTAATTACCCAAGTTTAAGGTGGCTAATAAAAGTTTTATTAACAAGTGTGGTGATCAGTACTTATTCTACTGACCCGATAAAAAAAGCCAGATCAAGGTCATTCTAAAATATTAACGCGTGGCATGCCAGCGAAATCCCATTGCTTTCAATCTCTATTAATCTATTTTTTACAATATGCATGTGAAATTTAGTAGAACTGTTTTTAAAGTGATTTTAAATTAGGATAAATTTTAAAATCTTCCAATTATTTTTTCTTATTAATTTCTAATTTTAACAAAAGTATTTTTTCGAGATCTTTTTTTAGTGAAAAAAAGTTAAAAGAATTCGGAAACAAACTTGCGCAGGAAGCAACAAACGTTCTTTATCAGAAGGGTTAATAAATGAATCAACATAAAGTCGGACTGTAGCATCTGATGATCCAGTACCACTAAGACGAAATATGATACGACTACCATCTTCAAATATTAGCCGAAGACCCTCCAAATAAAAAATTTCCAAACGTAAATATATATACAAATTTGATAAACAATGTGATTAATAAGTAATTTTGATTTAACACTATTCAAATTTTTTATGAATTTTTGATATCTTTTCTTTAATATCAAATTTTTTCCGCTTTTATTGATTTTTCATTTTGTAGTTCCATTAATAAAATTTATTTCTTCAAACTGATTGACAAAAAACAAACTTGTTTTTTTGAAATTAATCCATCAATGAAATCTTTATATTCAAAGTTATCGCCTTTAGAGAGGACAAAATCAATATGATTAGCAGAGAATTTTCGACCAATCCATGCACCTAGTTGTGATTCAATGAAAGTCATCATTAAATTCGCTCCCTGCGCATCCACTTTTTCGTAATCGTATCTATAATCATATAAACTTTAAAAATGTTGAAAATAAATATTGAAACTATCGAATTCATCATTATACTTTTAATACACTTCATAAAAAAATTTTTTAACCAAAAAACAAAATGTACATAGTTTAATAAAGATAAAATGAAGGAAAGCATTCTTTTTTTGGAAATTTTAAACAAATTACCGAGTGAAAACATTTCGCCCATATTTAGCCCAATGGTCCTTGACAATCTCTTCAACTGACATCTTTCTATGCGCTATTATTTGTAACCAAGCAAGCATTGCCCAAATTCCATCTTTTTCCCTTCAACATTTTAGACTAATTAATTAATTTTTGTCCATTTTTTTCAAAATACCAAGAGCTTCGAAACTAATAAAGGTTTGTTAAAAAATTCCGAGTTTATTGAAAACAAAAACAATCTTCATGAAAGTTCAAGGTCTAAATAGATTCATTAAAGCTGCAATGGAAATTAGAGCGGAGATGGAAAATTACCGAATATGATCAGACCCCGTTCCAAAAGATTCTTCACCACATAAAGATAATTTTCCAGCATCCATTAAATTTCCGAAAAATTTCCAACCAGTAGGAACTTCATATACTACTATACCAGAAGCCTGAGCAACACGATCAACTGCAGCAGCTGTGGGCATACTACGTGCAAATCCTACAATATACTCGAAAATATGCAAACAATATGTAAAAAAATAGCAAATCAAATCTAATTCTATAAAATTTAAAATTTAAATGTTTTAATTTAAAAAATTTTGAATAAATGTTTTTGAACTTCACAGGATAAACAGAGGGTCTCAATAGTTAATGCTAACTCCTTGTAGAAATAAAACCTATCTTTGAAAAATCTGGATGATGTTGAAAATTTACCTGTATTTCTATCATCATTTCTCCTTCTCCTTGGTTAAACTTAATCGATCTAGTAACCCAGCGGAGCAAGCCTAACCAGAAATGGTGGGCCTTCTTAAAAAAATTTTTACTGAAGGAAAATGAAAACCTTTTATTCCATGTTTTTGAAAATAGGGAATACAATTTAAATTTGCAGCAATCACTGCTAGCGAATCACTTGGAGTAACAAAGAAAGCATTTTTACCCAAAATCATATTCCGATCCTGAAATATAATTATCCTTTTGTATAGCATGTAAAAAATATAGCATGCGATTTCCCGTAAAACTTACACCATCACCATCGAATGCAGCGCCAAAATCGTGTTCTCCAAGAGACAATAAGGAAACCAAATGGTGGGCATATGTAAGATTTGGATCTGGATGACCACCACCAAAATCAGGTTTTGGAATTGCGTGAATGAAACTTTTCGAATCAATTCCAAGTTTTCCAGTTAAAATCGCTGATACATAAGGACCAGTTGCTCCATACATACTGTCAATCATTATATTGAACGGTCTGTTAAATATGCCATCAACCAGTAGTGATTTGATCTGAAAAAAAAAAAGAAAAAAATGGAAATATAAAAGAGACATGAAAAAATTTTATGGAAATATAAAAAATTATTATCTTTAAAAATCATTTAAATAAATAAAATTTTATTAAATATCCATTATTATTATTCATATTTTTGAAATAATGATGAAAAGGATAATCGAGTTATGCTTATCAGCGAAAATTTGGACCTTGCCTTCCATGGAAGTAGATGTGTCATAGATGTGTCATTTGCAAATCAAGATAGCTAACTCTAGAGATCTTTTTAATCATTTAAACAGGAGTAGTATGAGAATTTGCCAGCGCTAATCAGCAATTTGTAATAAGAAAGCAGAAAAAAAGAAACGAAAATTAACCAAAATAAAACCTGGTTAAAATCAAAAATTTCTTCCATCAACTGAATATAATCATTTACGCTATCAATTACATTCACAATAAATGGACCGCTTTCCTCAATAATAAATTCTTTTCGTCCTAACTCGTTCAAATCCACATTCAATTCGTGACATATTCGATATTCAGAAATAGTTTTCGTTACTTCATAAATAGTTTCCGTAACCTAGATATTAATTACAAAGGTCTGCCCTTAATATTATTGCCAAATGTTGTAAAAGAATAACTTTTTTTGACAGAAACGAAAGAAACCTTCTCTGGAGCAGGGCCTCCATTTTCACAATTAAATTTAATGCCAAAGTCTCCAGATAGACCACCAGGATTATGGCTTGCAGTTAAAATAATACCGCCATTTATGATTCTACCATCTATAATAATATAAGAGAATTTATATATCAGATTTGCCCTTTAGTAGAAACAGTTACCATTTAACCATCTTGACCCAATATCAAATAAAAATAAATTATAAAATATAAAAACAGATAAAAATAAAAAGTTCTATGAAAAAAATGTAAAAAATTATTGTATTAATAATTATTATACAATTATCACATAAAAATATCCAAAAATTATCCATTGAAAAACTTTACTAATTACGACAATTATATCTAAATTGAATTAACCAATAATAACCCATTAATAACTGATTTATTTAATTTTAGCAGTGCAATCTGCTACTCAATAAACCGATTTAAATTTAACAAAAAAGTATGTAAAATTAAGCAATTTAGCAATCAAATTAAATCAAATCAAATAAATTTGAAATAAAACTGAATAAAAAAAGAAGAGTAAAATTGGTAAGTAAAATAAAAAAGAAGCCAAAAAACTTTAATTTTTTCCAACCATTAATCTGCCGCTTTCGAATTAAACAGGAAACAGCTGGAGTACTTAAAAAACCATTCTGTCCAACAATTAGATTTCTTATCTAAAAAATAAATAAATCTTAACCTATTAAAAATTTAAGCAGAATACCAACTTTTTATTATAACTGAGCCATAAATAAAAATTAATAAACAATCTTTCTTTAAAATTGAATTTTTTTAACAAATCTTTCTTTAAAAGCGAAATCATAAAACGGATAAATTAAAAATATTTCAAATTATTTTTTATTTTGCAAAATAGCCAAAGTTTACCCCATTAGCAGCAGCAATCTTAATGATAAGTTTGACCGTTTCAGAGCAAAGAAATCTACCATCACCACCAACCACCAACGAAGCACCGTTTTTTCGATCACCAAGACCACCATCAAATATACACTGGATGAAATTCTCCGTATAATGCTCTTGTTGAAATTCGGAAACCTTCAATCAGAAAAAAGATATTGATACAATGAATATTAAACAAATGCAAACAGATAAATGACTGTACAGCAAATTAAAGCTGAGTCTCAGCACTTAATCCCATTTTTCATTAGTAAGGGAAAGGACAGAAGCAAGCAAGAAGCAGCAGTCTTAACATGAACAAATTATGGTATATTTGGGTTCCGACTAAAGTCTAGCATTACCGTCCACAAATAATTGTTTCGGCATTATTTCGTGACCTCCAACAGTGAAACGAAAAGTAAACAAAAAAGAAAAAAGTGGAAACGTTCGAACCCTTTTTCGCAGACCACTCGTTCCAGGCTTTTGACCTCCATATGGTTTTGTCTTGATAACGTCGACTTTTATTGCGGATTTCATGGATTTTCTTCCGGAAAAACTGAAATGCTAAAAATAAATATAATGATTTTGAATTACGGAAAATTTTTCAATAATTGTTTATGGACAATCGTTGATGTTTCGTGAATACCAAATTGAAAAATTCATCGAATAATGCTGACTGAGGAATTTAAGGAAGTAATAAACAAAAAATTAGACAGAAAATTCAACAAAAAATGGCAAAAGTTGGATAATGTGCAGTGCCACTGAGCAGCTGCGCATTCCATTTTAATTCAACTTAACTAAGCATCAAAAAATATCTGTAAACGAATATTTGCAGATAACCCATTAAAAAGCAAGCCCAGTCAGCAGGAAACGAGAGATGCGAGATGAACAACCTGCACTACCGAAAAGACGATAATGCGGGACCTGCAAATAGTATAAAGAAATGCAAAGCTGCATACTATGCCTTCTACGTTCTACCAACACCAACCACACTTCGCCTTTCATCCTCAGCTATAGCTTTTTTTAATTTCTGGAGCATTGACCAAACTTCACGGCCAAACTTCTAAGTCATTAAAACAAAGGACGGAAAGAATCATTCATCCAATTAATCGTTTTTCTGCGCTTATCATACTTATCATTAAATCTCTCGCAAAAAATTTTAAAGCTTCCCGCTTATGTTAAAAATGAAACTACATCCACGTAGCGATCTCAAACTATATCCACGTAGCGATCTCATTTCGACTGAAAAATCGAACATCGACTGCATTTTAGTAATTGTTTTTTACTTGATCAATCGATAAATTGATAAACCGTATTAACATTTCTGCGAGGATTTATGCATATTCGTTCGCTCAAGGCCGAGCAGCACTTCTACTTTCATGTGACTCTCTATGGGAAGTACCACAGAAATCAGTGGAACCAGTTGAGCGGGAAGTGGTGACACAGTTAAAGAATAAAGACCAGTCGAATCACCAAAGAATGTCTTAAAATCTTTTTCAACTATTCTAAATGTTCAATATTCAAAACAATAAAAACAATTAATTAAATAAAAAATTGGATAAAAATAACAAAAGAAATTAAAGAAAAAAGTTTGCGAGCGTCTGGCACGACGATATAAAGTTGAAATGAAAGAAGAGAGGTTCTGTGATAAGAATTGGAAAACTGATAAGAGTGGTACGGGTTGTTTCCTGTCAATAATATTTGGGAAAATTCAAGGGTTGAACGCGGCAAAACTAATGAATTGGTTTGAGAAACACAAGAAAACCTTAAAAGTTTTCTGCTTTGACTGGTCCAACTGACAATCATGATAGGACGAAGAATCCCTTAGCCATCACGTTTGATTCTTCAACCCAAATGCCTTAAGCTTTCTGCGAGGAAATCGTGTGCGCAAAAAGTGAAGGTGTGTTGGGTGTTTGCGCAAATTAACAACAATATCAAAACTTCGATTTTATTAAGAAATTGATTAACTGACTTAAGTACCACAGAACACACCACAGCCACAACAATCATAACAATGCTTTGTTTGAGTCTAAGGGAATTTCCAGACTAAAGGATTGCGGTGGGGTTATATAAATGATTATTAAATATGGGAATAAAGAATCTATTTACGAAGGAATTTATTTTAGTTCTTCGAGCCACAACTACACTAGCTGACTGCACATATTTTCATTAAAAGAGTTGCTGGTTCTCTGGCTTCGCTGGCTTCCTCGGCTGGACTCCTTTGCTATCTCCGTTAGGCGATGCTGCAACCCGACGAAGCGTCGACTCGATTCGAGCCCAAGTCTCGATCCTAGGTGGTAATTATCGCACCACTGAGTGATGCACCAATGCACCGTTACTAAAGAATGTTTGTGAAGGGTGCGAAATTAAATTAACATTTAATCCTTTCTTTCTTATCCTTTTAATAATCCTTTTGTGGAACAAATTTATCCTTTTCAGTGCTGTGATTTCTCAGCATCGGTGCATTAAATTAAGCAACAACCCAGTGAGCCATTCTACTAGCATTCTACTAGCAGTTTAATGATTCAGTTTAAGTATTGCTGAGAAGCATGAACAAATTAAATCTTGCAATTCTTCATCAGTTTGGTATCCGTAAAAAATGATTCTAATATAAATAAGATCACATAAAATAATGAAAAAGAAAAAAAACTGAACAACTTAAAAGGGAAAGTAAGATGGGAAATTTTAGAGAAAGAATTCGCGAAGTGATTTCCTAGCATATTTGTCCAGTACGATAAGTCAGCGGAGCGAGTCTAATTAGCAATGGTGAGGTCTCTATAAAAAAATCGAATCATTATCTATCGACTCGCTCATTGCTAGACTGTGCCAGGGAGTCCTCTTGGTGAATCGCCAATATCACGAGGATTTTTGCACAGTTTTACTCCTGCGTAGAATGAACCCCAGCACTCCGACTGAGCCATTGCGCTCTCCCTTGCTTACTCCGTAGGCTGCCGATGAAGCGTGGCATGTCGGTCGGATTCGAATCCAAGCCTCGATTCTCAGTGACAATTCTGCCACTGAGCTATCGACCCATCGCGTGCAACCAAGCTTAAATATTTATTTAAATATTTCTTAAATGAAATGAATTCACTTTATTGGAAAAATTTCAAAAAGGTAAAAATAAATATAAGCATTTAATTATAATAAATTAAGAATAAAAGGTGGTTAAATGAAATTCATTTAATTTTATGACGAATTAATTTAATAGTGAATTTTAATGAGGTTTAACTTCATTTGTCGTATAAAAATTTTCATTTTTTATCGCCATATGGTTTATTATTTAATTTATTAATCAATTTTCTCGTGAATTTATTAATTTTTCATTTTCGACGATAGCTTTAAATTATTTCAAACGTATTTATTTATCGTTCACAGTTTCTAGTTGAACGAATTCTGTTGGTTGAAGGCTTCTGCCAGCGAGTCTTTCGTGCTGGAGGAATTTTTCGTGCTTTCTGGCCACAGTTCCTGCCTTTTAAGACGGCGATCTAATTAACTATCCACTCAGTTATACGTAGGTCGACGGCTTTCATTTCTGTTGGCAGTTTCTAAAAAATCGACTGATTTGACTGATTTGTTCACTTTAACGAGAAAGAATCGAGTCCGTGTCAAACCTCAGGCAACGTTCCGTCCCGTTGGACCACATTCTTCCACACAGCTATTATCTACCGATAATTGTCCACATGAATTCAATTGGTTGTTTGGAGGTTTCATAGAAATAATGGAATTAAAAGGTTCACTGATAATTTTAAATTGTACAAACAAATTCAAAATTTCGATTTTAATATTTTAATTGTCCACTCAAAATAATTTACTTTCCAATTTTATAATTATAGAAATTGAAAAAGTGAGAAATTGGAAATAGAAAGCCGAACTCGGATAATCGTCTCGAGCGACGTGCTGAGACGAGAAACGAGTGAGTCCCTTCTCAAAATACGAGTGCTGCTGTGCACCCACTCATTGCATTTCTCTATGGCTTGCTAAGTGGAAGGAACGAGCATAACCAGAAATGGCGATTGCTGTTTAAAATTTAAAATTAACGCAAGCAACGCAATATTTAATTTTGAATATTTAAAAATAAGAAAAGCAAATAATCATTGAGCTAATAATTTTCTGTATGCGCATGTAAATCAATTAATTGCCTTTACAACTTTCACTATTTTCATTAATTTTTTCGACAATTCCAATAAATGATTCTCTTTTAGCTTTTAGCTTTAGCTTCAGTTTTCAAGTTTATTAAATGACAGCGAACTTGTTAAATTGCGATTATTTCCCATCAAAATTTTCTCTTTTCTTTACACAAATATTTACCATCAAAACTTTTCCTCAACAATGATAAAATTTACTTTGAGTTATTTACGATATTTGAGTTCATAATCAGAGCTATAAGCACTCAAACATCACTTTTGCCTTCCCGGATAAATATCTGAAATGTTATCAACTTTCAGCAGTAGCCTTCTTGATTGATAGGTTAATCGATAATAATTATTTGATAAAGAAAATAAATCAGATATTTTAGCGCTAAATGCAAGATTTAATTTAATTTCTATAAGAGATATAAAAATGGAAAACTATCTATCGAGATTTTTTTCGATTAATCTGATAGCAAATTGGTGTTTGGTGAGGAGTGGAAATAAAATTGTTGAGTGCGTCAATTGTTGCACTATTCGGAACGCAGATATTGAGGTCCTGTTTCCCGCAGGGGTAAACCTGTCCAAAAATCCGTGTGATTCACCTGCCCTTCTATCGCCAAGGGACTCCCTGGCATATTTGTCCAGTGTTTTAATTTTGTTAAAATACTTTTCCTCGTTTTTTTTCTTTTTTCTTTAAACTGAATATTAAAAGATTTCACCATGTAGATTATTGTTTTTTTTTAATTTTTTGATACCTGAAATTTAAAAAAATTTCTGAAATTTCTTTCTATTTCATTGAAGTTATGGCGGAACTATAAACACCAAATGAGTCGTGCATGTTATTAAGCCATGCGACTTATGTGAAAAGCATTTAAACTGGATTAAGGTAAAGAGGGACTTTTTTAGATTCATGAAAAGACTTGCATTATTTTATGAATAAACAGTGAGATGTTACTATTGAATGCCATAATGCTTGTGTATGAACCAGATGAAAATAAAATTCTATTCAAGTATCAGATGGATATCAGTTGCCAGCCAGATTTTTCTCTCCTTCATATCGGATCTTAATTAGTTATTAAATTTCGTTCTTGAAAGTAAAACTTCTACGAAATTTTACTGAGAGTGTTTCTCTTTGCTGAAAAGCATGGACTTTTTATCACCAATAAACGCTTTCCAATAGAGCAGAAAACCAGAGAACACATCTAGCTACATGGGCTCTCCGAGCAACCAGTATGTGGACTGGATCAAGGAAAATGGAACTGCTCTAGACCGAAGCAGATTATTCATTCATTTATTTATTGAATATGTTCTGGTCAGTAAATGTTGGAGGAGTGACGAACTAATCGTTTTTGCTGCTATAACTGGCAATCTTTACGAATCAGACCATATTAGGGACTGACGATTCGCAGAATAGAAAATATCTCTCTTTCAACTCTCACGCTGGAAGAATGCGTTTTACGAATTATCTCTTCGCAATCGCAGAACATCTCAACGACCTAAACAGCAGGGAATCGAAACGAGCGATAAGCTCCCCTCCAAAATTCTATAAACCTATACCTATTCTGGAATATATTCTCGAGTCACTATGCCTCGGAAAAGATTGAGCCGTCCATAAAATGTCAAAGTGCGTGGCTTTGTGTCGTACTTGGCTCTAAAATAAATATTCTTCCAAAAAATGTTCGCATAACACCATGTAACCTTCTGAAAAATTGACTCATGAAATAATGTTTTTAATTTTTTTCCTAAAACAATTTCAATATTATGTGTGCATCGACAATGCTTGATGAGGAATGCTTTGCTTCTGCTTAATTATGGCTAATTTTTGTTGGCGATTAATTTAGATTGAAAAATGTGGATTTTGATTATTTCTTTTAATAATTGTTGAAAATAATTTATTTTGGAGGGAATTACAGAAAATTTTAAAATGGCCATATAAGGTCCGCTCAGCACTCGGTTTTGTTTTTAATGAAAGTTTTTACAGGGATAAACATTTGAACTCATTCCTAATTTCTAAAGCTACCATACTTTTTTTCATTAAACTTGATTAAATGATAACAATAATGATAATAATAATAGCGGTAATAATAAACAATAATTAATAATAATAACACATAATAATGTTAATAACACATAATAATAATGTTAACAGATGACATGTATGATGAGCAGGTAAAAGCGTCGTGAATAGCGAAAAGTATTATTCACATTTTGAGTTTGAGCTGCCAAAGAAGACAGTTAATTATCCTGAATTGATGTACATAGAAGAAATAGCATGGTTCACAAGCCGTGTTAGGGCCAGTCATTTTCTTTACCTTCTTAACTGGTGTCGGCTACTGCGAAGGAATTGGTCCCATGAATATTTTTAAAATTTATGCAGTTGCTTGTTTGTTTGGTACTTTGGCCTCGTCGCCACTCCTAATTGCCAAGCAAATTGTCATTGTCGGTGCATAATTTGAGCCTACGTGGCCGCTCCCCAACAATCAAATATAACTTTTTTGTATTTTTTTATCTTTCTATTCTGTGAAAATTTTTAAATTTTTTGGTTCGTGAAATCTGTTTTATTTTTACTTTTATTTTTACATCTTTTAGCGAAATAATATTCATTTGTTAAGATATTCTGTTATTTATCGAATTTCTGCGAAAAATTCGCAAATTTGAGGACTCGACGTGCTAGCGACCAGATTTATCTAATACTTCGCAGTTGATATTGAGAAAAAAAAGGAAACCTGGATGATGTACAAACAAATTTATATTGCGTGATAGGCAAGCCTATATCTGTACGAAAACTGTTTTGGGCGCGATTTTTTCGCCTTTTTCAAGTGGTTATACCGATTATTAAGTAGTTAATGCTTACCATTTCTCACTCTACAGGCTATTAAAGGAGAAATTTAGTCGTCAGTACCACTCGAACATTTTTATTTCTATCAAGAGTCGGATGTGAATCTGAACTTGAACATCAAGTTGATGATCTGAGCAATAACTGCTCGGCTACTACGATTCCAACTTTCATTAGCCGTGATAAGTGTGGTAAATCTAAAAAAAGTTAAAATTATTAAAATTGTTAAAATTAAATTAATAATTAAACTCAATGAATTAATTAGAATTATAATTATAACAAAAATAGTTCGATATATATTTGTATTTAATAAATAATAAATGAATAAATAATAAATAAACAATAAATGAAACGATAAATGAGGATAAACTTGATGAATAAGCTAAGTTTGGATAAATAGTAATAGTTATTCGAATTAATAAAACTAAGCCTTAGTCAAAAATCGTAAAAAGTAATATGGCACATAATGCCGACTGATCGTTCTTGACTGTTGCTTAGATTACCATTTCGAATATCATGGTTCGGCTTTTGAGTTAGGCAAGAGTATATCTACTAATGGAAAAGCCGGTTGCGACTCACTTGCAGGTCTAACTGATTCCATGATAAAATTCTTATCATGACAAGCAGACTAATGAGAAACAATTACTATCAACCTTTATTAATTAAGAATGACATTGATAAATATTAACAAATCGCAGTTGAATCATTCAGTTGATTTCATTCTCCAAATTATCATTCGAGTTGACCTTTTCCATACCATAATTCTATGATAAAAAATATTTAAACATAATAATATACCGTAAAACATTTGTTACGAGAAACATTTGAGATTTTACCAATTTTGATCAGAGATATGAGTTTTGTTCAGCTTTCATATCGTCAAGGGAGAGAAGAGAACGTCGTTGTATATCGCCGAATGAACCCTTGCCATCATTTTCGCATCGGGGCTTGGAAATGGTTCGCTCTATTAGTTCACTGGACCTAACGAGTAACAGTGTCAGAAGAGGAAGATTATCCGAATGGTGAGAAATTTACTGCTATTTACTGCTATTTGCTGAATTCTATCCACAGAGATTTAAATAAAAATGGTCAATTGGACATTAAAAGAATCACGTTTGTCGCATGTCGCTCGAGTCAAACTACATCATAAAGTGGTGATTACCACTGCAACCACTGTTCTTCCCTTTTACCTTCGCTCACCATTCATCGTTCGGATGGCTCCACCACCAACGGCGAACCTCTCCGACACGTCGCTTGGGAACGGAAACGGACCTAGGCCAGCAATGCGCGCCAGTAAATAATATCGAGTAGCTTATAAGAATTCTAAGAATTAGAGCGAAAATCGAATCGTCCGTCCAGTTAAATCGCTTATTTAGTTATCGCTTATAAAATCGCTGTTACGTTCCATTTACAATTAAAAAGTTCCTAAAAGTTATCAGTGCTTTTCATTCGACTACTGTGGCCTACTCGTCGCCATTTTCGTGCACCATTTCTGGCGGCTTTTGACTTGTGCCGAGCTTCTGCCGAACCGCAGCCTACAAGAAATACAACGGGCAGTTCGCACCTTGTTTACTGATTGTCCACCTCTAGCTTCGGTTTGCGAATTGAGAAGAGCCACTTATGGAAGTTACTTATGCCACTGTAACAAATAACTGATGAGATAAATAAAACTGATTGTTAGTTTTTTGTCACAAGTGTTGCTATTTCTCAGCTCATCTTTGGAGATCAAAGATGAAATTTCTTAGTGACTGTTGAATTTTTGAATCTCACTACTCTCAGTGAGTTTTTTTGTGAATGTATGTGTGGCCGATGGTAGAATGTTTTTTTTGGAATAAATAGTCGTTTTATTGAATTTTCGAATTCTTTGGTTGTTTTCTGAAATATTTTTTTTGGTGTCACTGGAGTCAGCCGGTGGGAGCTGTTAGAAAAAGAAGAAGAAATATTTTTTAAAATATTTTGAATATATTGGAATTTTAATCCAAATTTCGCATATTTGAATCTGAAAATATTTTAAAAAACTGTTCACTGTTCGGTTAAATGGGCTGCACAGGCGAAGTATTTTCTCTTACCATTAGCTTTTCTCCTATTTTTTCGTTTTTAATTTCCATCCCACTTTTCCTGGCCCTGCTTACCTCTTAATTTCTCAACGATGCTATTTCATGCCATTATTGTTTAGCAAGGCGAATAGTCGTTGCTCTCTACATAATTCAAAAATATTTCTTCTCATGTTTAGGAAAAAATTATTATTAAAATAGTTCTGACTCTATGCTTCTCTATTTTTAGTGGAGGGAACCGAACCGGAATTCATGAATGTTCTGAATGCGGCTACCATTTGCTTAGACTTGCTTTGCCGGCCTGTTGAACCGGACAAACTTTGCCAGAGTCGCTCGCCGATAGAAGAATAATAGGTTGCGAGTACTTCCCTGTTTTTGAAAAGATGGCTTTACTGCTACTGGGAGTAGAATCCCAGCATCGATTCCCCGAAGCGAGGGCGACAATCCACTCAGCCATTCCCTTCGGGAAGATCGCTATTAAAATCATCTGATTCGTACGATTATTAATCGTTCATATACGATGATTTCATCCATAAACCATTTTTTTCTTTATCTTTTTCTTTATCTTTTTTTGTAAGTTTTTTTGCACTTTAAGTCTTCGTTTTTTAAAATTTTTATTTATTTACGTTGAAATTAGTGAATTTTCAAAGTTTTCAATTTTTTTATCTAAATTTCGATGCGATAAGAAATTTTGCAAAAATGAGAGTCACTTGGCGAGTCGAAATATAGCAGTGGGTGGCCAGCATCACTCAGATTTCTGAGGAGCATCGACGAAGAGCAAAAATCTTCTTGCCTTGGCCTTTTAACATGGTGAGCCAGTGTGCATTCGGCCATTTTGCACCTTACAATGAGGCGATTGAAGATTTTAAGGCATTGGGTATAGAGAGAGTATAGAGATGGAAAAGGAACGAAAAGCGCGCTTCTACTGTGCAAAATTTTCATGGCTCACTCAAATATGGTCTCGGGATCGTCCATCTGATTTGCAACAACTAAGATAGAGTATTGCAGATTTGATTATAGATTATTTTGACACGAAAGTTACCATTAAAAGCCAGATTTAAAAGCCCGGTGACTATCTATTTACTTTCACTTTTATGACACTTTTGACAAGGCATCTAATCTCAATAATGAGGGGAACCAGCCAAACCAGGAATGATGTGGGTCATGGGCTCAATTATAGTTAAAATTATAATTATGTTTAACTTTTCATTATAAAAAATTTTTCGCTCTCTCTAATATTTTTATTTTCGTAATTGCCATATTTCTTTTCTAGGAGTACGAAAAAATTTATCATTTAAGGACAAATGCGTTTGAGTTTATGGTTATATTGATGGTGATGATCGTGATGATGATAACTGAAGGTGAAGTGAATATATTGCTATCTTTTAGCTGATTAACAGCATCAGTGTAAATATTACTGCAATGACAACACGATCCGGTAAAAATTCCATTTTCCTCCGAATTATTTTTTTGTATTTTTTATATTTCTTTTATTTCTTTATTTTATATTTTAAACTTATTTTTAATCATGTTATTTTCGAATGCTTTATTTTAATTTAAGGAGCAGAATTTTAGGCACTTGTATTTCTTACCATTCCTGATTTGGCCGATTCCGCCGGTTACTAGGATAAAATTCACTTGAGAATAAAAAATATAAGTAGGTGTCTGGTACCATCCGTCAGGCGTAGTTGAAAATAAAATAATTTTTTTAGCGACAATTATTGGTCCATGTATTATATGCGGTGAGGATTCAAATGGACGACATTATGGCGTTATTGCTTGTCTTGGATGTAAAACATTTTTTCGAAGGCTCGTATTTTTAGAATTTTATCTTTTTTATTTTTTTGAATTTCGGTTTTCAGTTTTGTGGAGCTATTTTAAATTTTTAATTTAATTTATACAAAAATATGTTTGCCAACATTCCTTGTTTTTCGTATTTTTCATCTTATAAATTATTTACTCATATTTTAATGGGAAATTTTCAAAAATCATTGAATATGATATTTTCTCGAAGTTTTATGGATGAAAATATAAATTACGAATTACGAATTTATCCTAGAGGTGAAAGAAAGAATTCAATTAAGAAAAGCAAGAAAATTATCTTGCGCTAGCATGTGAAAAAATTTAATTTTTGGAAAAAACTTTTTCTTTGGAAAAAATTTGTTCAATTTTTTCCTTGAATTTTTGATAGATTTCATTAGTTATAATTTCTAAATTTTTCTTAGTTATTAGTCATTCATTTTTCACTAATTATTCATTAATGCATATATTTATAAATTTCGTCGTTGCTATTCGACATTTTTCGTCCTGGAATAAAGACTCGTCAATCACTGGATTTAGGCACATTTTTGAAGGACTCCTTTTAGTCTGAATATCGGAAACTTTACTGCAGTAGGCAGTACGGTTCGGAATGTAAAAATGAATTTTTTTTTGGCAAAACCACAAAGGGCATCTTTTTAGCTTCAGCTATTCAGTAATGAGTTTTTAAGAATTCAAATATAAAAGGAGTATTAAACAAGTTACACGCGGAACATATGTGGTTATAAAATGAGGACGTTTTTAGGGCAGTTATACAAAAACAGGATATAAAGTGCAAGCGAATGGAATCGTGTGATATCGAAAAAGCAGCAAGAAGAGCTTGTCGAGCTTGCAGATATAAAAAATGCCTTAAAATGGGAATGACACGAGAAGGTTTGTCTTCGCATAGTTTTTTTAAGTCATACTTCGTAATAATTTTGATTTTGAAAAGTTAGAAATAAATAAATATCTAGTTTTAAATATCTTATGAGTATCTGGTTTTTTATTCGTTTTCATATTTTGCCATAATAATTATATTTTGCTTTTTGCACTTTCCAAATTATTTATACCATAATTTATGAATTTTCCTTTTCCCTCTTGGAAACGAAATGTAATGAACACAGCTGGTAAGGAAAAGGATGCGGAAAAATATTGGTAATTTGTAGATCGAGGTAAATTTCCAAATAAAAGCAAATTTTTATAGTTCTTTATGTGTAACAGACGTAAAATAATGTAAAATGAGGATGGGAAATAAGGAAAAAACGATCCTGAAAAAAAAATTGAACTGTTGACTTATTTCAATCAGTGAAGCCTTAACTTCATTTCAGCTTTGCAACCACGCCGAGATTTAATTGGTTGTCGGCAGTATCGTTCTTTAAATAGTGAAAATAATTTTTCACGGATTGGCATTGATAGTGCATTGTCGAAAACTACTTTTGATCGTAAACTTGTTGACCTTATATCGCAATTGACATTAATTGATAAAGAAATGCGTGAGAAAAAATTTGAATTGATGAAAGCTAAGAACGAGGCGAAAAAGTTATCTGAAATGCTAAAACAAGGTAACGAAACGGTACGTTTGCGACAATCTTGCTTTGGTTTATTTGATTTGCTAGACTTCTTTAAATTAATTAATTAATGGTATCAATGATATGTTAAGGTGGAGTTCTTCTTTTAACATTCCTTGAATTTAATTTTAAGATGAAGGGAAAATTCATGATCATGCTATCAAATGATATCACTAATGTGACGCAAACTGATCTTTTAATAATGCTTGAGTGGACCAAAACACTTCCGTGTTTTCCGAAACTTCCGATATCTGATCGTATTGCACTTCTAAAACGGTGAATTATTCCGAAATGATATCTTTAATTTATTTTATTTATTTTCTAGACCCAGTAATTTTTGATTTTCTTCGTAGCTAAAAATTTGCAGAATAATATTTAGAAGAAAATAATTAATAACCAGTTAAACGATTTGCTTTCAGCTTCGAGAATCTTTTAAAAGCTTTTAAGAGCTTTGAGAAGAATTTTTCACATAAATTTTTTGATAGAAATCAAGTTTTGATCATTCTGCAGATTCGCTGTTCAATATCTTGTATTGGAGCACGGATATTATACTGCTCAGTTAGGTGTGGAAAATGTTTGGCTTATTTCGAATGGAACTTGTATGCCGCGCAATATTAATGAAATATCGGATGAAATGAAGGTAGTTTTTCATACTTCTTTAATCTTTTAATGGGAAGTATTGATTATAGAGATAAATTTTTTTTTTAAAGAGTCCTCACCATTACTGGTTAAACTCGCTTCGCTGGCTTGCTTTTCGCAATGGACAAATATGCCAGGGACTCCTTTATCGATAGAAATGCAGGTGAGTTGCCCGTGTCATCCGGATTTTTGGACAGGTTTTACTCCTGCGTGGAATAGAACCTCAATATTGGCTCTTCTTTGAGCAACAACCCACTGAGCCATTCTATCTCCCATAGGGATAAAAGAAAGATAGGTATCATAGGGATAAAATCATTACTGAATGTAAATTAAAGAAAAAAAGAAAATGTAATTCTTGTATTAAAATTGCCAAATTATTCAATTATGGCAATTATGGATTTCTTAGCCAATTAAAAACTGCATTTACTTTTCAAAAATTTTCATTTATTTTTTCTTTAAAAAGAGCTTTTTTTTCATTGGTAGATTTTTTCATGATTTCTTCAGAAAAAATTTTATATTTTATATATATATTTTATATTTTATATATTTTACTTCCAAATATTCCTTTTATAATTTTCTGCAGGAATCAGTAACTGCTGAACGAATATGGAGGCAGGAGAAACTCTATAAACAAATGACTGATTCATGTATCGATGAAGTTGCAATGCCGTTGAGGAGGCTTAAATTGATGCCTGAAGAGTTGGTTGCATTAAAGATTATTATGTTATTTCGTTATGGCAATCATACTAGTATAGGTTAGCACTACTTCTTAAATTATTATTAATTTATTGCATTGAATTTATTTTATTTCTCGTGTTCTTCATCTGTAACTTTTTTTACACTTATATTTTTTATAAATTTTTGATTTTTGTTTTCATCCACGTTTATTAAAATATCATAATTTTTATATTATAAAAAGATAGATACATAAATATATAATATATAGTATATAACATAAATACATATATCATAACAAATAATATTATAACACAAATATATATATATATAGTATATAATTGCGCATATAATTTTCAAAAAAAAATAAGTGAATTTAGCTGGATTTAATATTTTAACAGGAAGGTAGTAGAAATAATTTAACTTATTAAACACAAAATTAGTGAGAAGTTTTTATTTTTTTTAAACTTCCGTTCTAAACTTTTAAAATTTCGTAAAAAATATTGCTGAAAGGTTTTTGTCGATTGATTTGAAGAACGAATTTGAAAAATAAAATGAAGTAGAAAAATGAGAATCTAATAAAAAAATAACAAAAAAACAAAAATTTCAAATTATTTCTTCAGTAAAAAGTTTTTTAAAAAGTAGAATATATATAATATAATATAACATAATAATATAATATATATAAATATATATATTATTATTTTTTTAAAGAATGCTCACCATTACTGGTTAAACTCGCTGGCTTGTCACATTGGATCGATATGCCAGGGAGTTCCTTGGCAATAGAAGAACAGGTGAGTCGCCAGCATCACCCGGATTCTTGTACAGGTTTACTCCTGCGGAACTCCCAATTGAGCAACAACCCACTGAGCCATCCTATTCCCACAATATATTGTATATAAAGTAGAATATTTTGACATTATTATTCTTTATTAAGAAGCTTTTACTTTTAAATTTCTGGTAGAACAAGAGATCTCAGCAAAAATTTTTTGAAGGACTCACTGAATCGGAGATATCGGATGAAACTCGTCAACGAATTATACAGTGTCGGGATCACATCATTGCTGCTTTGTTTGCTTTCTATGATTCAATCAATTATTCAAATTATGCAGGTGGTAAATATTTTTATTAAATCTTGAAATATATTCATCATTTTCTAATTTAAGGCTAATTAAAAAGCAAATTCCTTTTAATTATAGGCATAATTTAATGAAAATTAAAAGGAAAGAAAATTCATTGTTATTTCACTTTTTATTTTGTATGTGATAACAAAAAAGATATACTATATTTGAAGTTTTTAGAACGCTTTGGCAACGTGATTCTTACTATATCGGGTATTGTATCAGCTGCTTCATCAATGCTAGAAAGTTATCAAGTCATGCGATTATTCAAGATCGTCATTTTTGATCATATTTCCGAGCAATTGCTTTTTAACAATTGCGATATTACATAATATTAGACAATATTGTTTCTTACTATACGCGAATGTTTAAAACCAAACTAAAGAAAAAGCATTCTAAGATTTGCTTTTATTTGAATAGGTTATAAATTTGTTTTATAAATTATTTAAGGTACTTTCGTGCTTTATAATGTCTTAAATATTTTATTTACGAATGTGACGGTAATGTAGGTGCCTATAAGTAATATATATTTCTGAACTTATACTGTGTTCTTTTTTATATTTTGTATTTATATTTTTTTTCTACTATTTGCGTTTTTTGTTTTGCTTTTTTTCTATGGGTTTGGTTTTTGAAGAAAACGATTCTAAAAGAATAGGTTTTCTTTTTTTGATTTTGCTCAGTCTCTTAGCAGTACTTTAATATTTTAATTTTCAGGAATTTCCTTTTTTCTTAAGAAAAAAAATTTGATGGATGTGATTCAAAAACTCAGCTTTTATATTATTTGTATGAGATGATTATAGCAATTGTAAAAATTTGTCGTAGTTTATAATACCAATTTAAATTATTTAAATTATTTTAGATAATTTGAATGACTTTTTTCTTGAATTTTTTTGTTTCATATATTTCTGAATAGTGATAAGTTGTTGGTGAAATTTTTCGCATGTAAAATATTTTTTATTTATTCTTATTCTTAAACAGGTGTTTAACTGGTATTTTTTCTGCTTTTACAAATAAGTTAACTTCTATTAGTTTTTCACAATTTTGGTGTCAACTTTTTTAATTATTTTAATTTTATTATAAATTTTTATTTTGATATTAATTAATTTTTAATATTAGTTTTATTAATATTAAAAATTAATATATATTAAATAATTGATATATATTTATATATGTTAATATATAATATATTGATATATATTTATATATGTTAATATATATATTATATATATTAATTAATATATATTAATTTTTTATATTAATTTTATAAATTTTTTATTTAATTGCTGGTATTTAATCAATAATCACTAAATTCTAATGATTCAAATGTAACAATTTTTTTATGGAAGGGAAACCATTGACGGCTCAACATTTACATTGTCCTAATTTTGCATTTTTGCATTTTATTTTTATTTTGATCAAAAAATAAAATTTATATTTCAAATTTTAAAATTTTTATTTTTGTGTCATTATTGTTTGTAGCATTTAGAAGCTTATGGAAATAATATTACGTTTTTTTTTTTAAATTTGAGAGTTTCAAAAGAATTTTTTGGATATTCAAAATAATTTAGGATTATTGTGATTGTAACTGTAGGAAAAATGATATTTAGACATATAAAAATATATTTTTTCGGCGAAAAAATGAATATGGTTTGAATTTTACGAAGAGGCTGGATATTTCCTGGTTCACTTAATTCTTAAATTTCCCTAATCATTGATATTCATCAACTGATCATTTGCCAGCGAAAAGGATAGTACTGCATATTTCAGAGAATTATTCATTTTATTAAATCATTAAATCATTCATTTTATTTTTTTTTATTTATCTGCTCGCTACACTGATGTTAATGGTGTGAGAAATATTTGTTAGGGAATCAGCCGAGGACAAAAGTGTCGGTGGATATGTTCTGATCGCTTCTAATATTTTAACTCTTATCAGAGGTAATGTCACAATCTGAACGCGCAAGCGACAGTCTGAGCAGCGGCAGATCATATTTTTATAAAATCTTTTTGATTTATTAACTAAATATTTCATTTAAATGATGAAGATATTCCAAATTAAGAAAAGACTGCGAAGATTCTACATTTGGCGAATTTTTGGTTTGTGTAGTAAAGCCAAATTATTTTTTGATGAATTGGGGCAATGAAAAGTGAAATTAGTCTGCGACTCGCTTATTATCCTTCCACGTGCTAATAATTGTTCAGTCATTACGGCTGCCGTATTTGGCGTGGAAGACTTGGCTTTAAATGGATTTGCAAGGGCTGACATATATATATATATATATAGAAAATATTAGAAAGAGGAATCTGATGAATGGATTTTATTTTATTTCATTTCATTCAAAAGCATCTGCTATTAAGCAAATTTAAGCGTTTTTATGGAAACATTCTTCTTCAATCGCTTATTTTGATTTTGAGTTTCAAATTGTAGTTATTTAATACCTTCTAATTCTCTTAACTCGGCTTAACTGTAAGAACCGCGCGTGAAATTAGCTTTACTGAATCAAAGTTGACTAATATAGAAAGTAAAGACGGTTCGGTTAAGGCAAGCAGTGATTACACCTCTAATGTTCGCGGAGAAAGTGTAAATGCTGATTCCTCGTTTTCCTTTGATACTGGCCAAACTGTTTTGTGAATGGAGACATGGGTCGAACACAACTGAAAACCACAGAAATAAGCTTCATCTGTTTTTAACGATTTTTATCATCATTCAATTGGATCTAATAGGTTAGGCCGACTCGATTGACTATGTTTCCAAGTCCCTTGATCCACTACCATATTCGAAAGTAAACTACTTATTTTCCGCTATCTGTACCCATATATTGCTGGAACGCCTATTTGTTAAAAACATCCCCTAATATTTTTCGATTTTAATTTTTTGAATAATTTTTACGGTCATAAACGATAATAGATATGCCGCTTGAGATTCATTCAGCCAAATCCATAGCTCGCTAACTCATAATGCTTGATTGCTTTATTATGAAAATCAAAAAATGCGAATTCATTTCGATTCCTTCGACTTTTTTTTGTTTGATTAGAAATTTTAATGGCTCTCTTTTTATGCACTGGAAAATTTTCAATGCATGAAAAAAGTTCATGTGTTTGCTTCGAGGATATGGAAGGTTCTTTACTTGGGCATTTGCAAGCTATTCTTCAAAATCAAGATAGTTTATGGTGATGTATTCAAAAACTGTTATATATTTTATATTTTTAAAAAAATCTCTCTCCTGAAGGTGCTAAGGGTCGTCCTTAACCGCGAGTTTTCTACCAGAGGTCTGAGTGAGGAAGTTTTCTGCAAAATATCTTGGCTTTTCAGTTGTCTGTTCCGGATAGACATCTTTGATATTGTTCCTGGAGTCTGTTGAAGCTATTTGTCTAATTTAAGGTCTTCTAGTGCTCCTATTGCCACTGGGACTATTTTCACCTTCACTTTCTGTATCTCTAGTTCTTCTTTCAACCCTTGGTTGCTCTCTAGCTTCTCATATTTTTTTTCTTATCACTTACTATAACTATATCTAATACCATATGTAATTTTTGGTTTTTGTCTATACTATGATATCTATGATATGATGAGTGACTAGTACAATCTGTCTAGATGGAGAATCTTACAGGATCTTCACTTTATTGTTCTCGACATAAAAAAGAATAAACTTACATCATGCCATTATATGTTTCTAGTTTCTGTGGCTTTTTTGCACCATCTGTACCTTAAGCCCAATCCGATGTTGTAGATTTCTACTTCAATGGATCTGATGCTTATTACCTGTTTTTATGACTAATGCCTCAGTGCAGTGCTTCCTGAGCTTAATTTTTACTTAATTATCTTTTTATCTTTCTCTAATGGTATTATATCAGCAAATTTCCCTTGATGCCATTCTTGAATGTTTCGCGAGTCATGACATTGGCTTTGACTCTCCAAGTCCCACTTGCTTTTTTTCCAGCCGATCTTTGGATATTTGATTTCTGGTGAAAAATTTGTGAGAAGTTTGCGGTTCACCAGCAGCTTCCATGTTTTTCATCTCACTGTGCCAGCTGCGTATCTGGGTATCTATAGGGTTCTAAATTACTTCTAAATAGCTATGTTATAACTATATCTGCTATATTGTATTAACTACTTTCCCTCTCTTTATTGCCATCCGGCTATATTATCATATCACGCCTCCAGTCTGCTTGATATCCCATTGTTCTCGTTATAGATTTTTGTTAGGTGAATGAGCGAGTTAAGATGGCTGATGGTAATTCCTTTTTTGAACTTGGATCCGTATCCACTTATGATTATATGGCTAAGAAAATTCAGATTTATGCAGAATAACTGGGGTAATCCATTACCTTGATATATGCTTCACTTGAAAACCGCTTATACAAGGTGTTTTTGAATTCAAGTGTCGTTTTCCACAGTCTCATTGCTGTCCTTGATAAAAAAAACCTTTAGGATTTGTACAGAGCAAGACAGGATCCATATATGGGGAATTGAGTTAGAGGCTTTACTTCATTTAATCCAAACTGTGCACATACTGTTCGGTCTTACTCCATTTATGAGCAGCTAAAATTTTGAGCTTTTGGTTTCGTTCCTAATGCTGTTATGAATAGTACTCGTGTACTGGTTCATATGGTCTTATAGTCTGATGGCTATGATGCCTAATAACAATTTTCACCTTCTGAAAAGGCCAATTATTGGTTGTAATTGGAGGGTATTATTCTCTTTTTCGTGTAGTACTGTGATCTTTTAATGGAGTATAGCTCTTGTCTTTTAAGCAACTAGATCTTACCAATTTTTTTTTTCACACTTTTCTGTTCTGTCAGTTGATTTACCTCTCTACGAACTTTTTTAGCATTATTTCCCAAAAGTAACACTGTAATTCTTCTTGATTTTTCTTGGTGTATCCAAGCATTTCTAGAATTACAGCGGTCACTGAGCTTCGATAGTCGGTCTCGAAGGAATTGCAGCAATTTTATTTTTTGTCTAATATCGAATGCTATGTTTTGCAATGGGAATATTGGAAGGAAATTTCCAGCCTCCCATTTTGTCAGCTGCACATCCCTTTTCTCTTCTTTTGGATTATTTTTAGTCTGGGTTGATCTATCTCCAGTTGAGAGAACAGCTTCCTTTTTTCTATATTGAAATATTAAGTGACTAGTCGTTTCTCTGTTAATTTGATGCATGTTCTTGTTTTGTCCACCCACAGTTCCTTCATATGTTTCATATATCCCCTTTCATATAGCATTCCATTAATTCCAGATTATCTTATCTTGTCCAAGTGAGGTTTGCTAACTCATAGAGATATCCTTATTTATTGCTATCCCTAGTATAACTCGAGAAGTCAGTGAAATGATA